AGGCTGGTCCTGCTGACACCCGGCCGGCAGGCAGGCGGGCGCGCGAGGGAGCACTCTCCGGCGCCGGCATCAGTATGCAGCAGCGCGAGGGAGCTGAAGAGGAAGCTCTCACTGCTGCGTATTAGACCAATTCATATACATCATATTATACTGTCCTTCCCGCTGTCCTGGCTATTTGACTGCTCGGGCAACCGAGGTACAAGTTACCACATTAGCCATGCAAGGGCAATGTCTATTGTACGGCCTTACCCAGCATGTAAGTTTTTTAAGTAATTTCAGCTTACAGGGGCAACAATGACCTTAGCATACACGGCCAAAGTTATTCACAACCACACTCTTCATACGTTGCAAACAACCCACCAAAGGGCTACCCAATATAGCATACTGGGAGCACCTCATTTGGGCTAATACATATGGCATAGGAGTTACAATTTTGACATAAGTTTGCAATTTTGTCAAAAACTACCACAGCAGGACTCTACATGTGGCCCTCACTAGGCCATCATTCTCACGTTGCATACGACCCCCTGCGAGCAATCCACTACGACTCAATTCTCACCCACAGGAGGCAATTACATATGACCATGGTCACGTTAGACCACTCAAATCCTCCCTATACGGCCCTTTCTCGGCATTTACAACTACAATCACAGATACTTACGTGATCTCCGATATTAGTTCCCGCTGGTAAACTAGGAATATCCCACATACTTCATACATATTTCAGGTTCTTCTAGCGGATTAAAACTCATTTATAAAAATTTATTAATCATTTATAAAAATTTATTAAATTAAACTTTTAATAAAAGATTAAAAATATTCAAAAAAAAAAATGTGTTATTTATAAAAAAGCTCTTAATTCAAAATCTACGTTTAAACCGTTGGGTTCTAGCGTGTCTAACTGAAATATCCATTTGGCTTAATAAATTTTTATAAATGAGTTTTAATCAAGTATCAAATACATTATGAACTGTTTAACTATACTATTATTATTATTTTTATGACAATATATTTCAATATGTGAATCTTTTATAATCTTTTAAATTCAATATATTATGTTATTTATCTCTTTTTTAATGAGTAGTATATATAGGTCCAATATGTATTACAATCTTTTTTGTTTAAATTCCATAACATTGTAAAAATCTTTTATTGTATATGATTGTACTATTGAATGAATCCAGTGCTATATTCAACATTAACAACAAGGGGTTAACACAAGCCAGAAGTTCTGCTGGCTATTTAAACCCACAAGAATCTTCAATCAGACATCCTCTGATGAAGTGAGCTAAGCCTCACGAAACGCGCAAGGACGGTATTCAGAACGACAGAACGACATTTCACTGCTTTTCGGCATCTACCGGCATCTTTCCGGCATCTACCGCAATACTGCTGATTTACATCTGGAACGCAGACGGAGAATCTGGTGAAACGCACGCGGCTTGAAAACTATTCACTTTACATCTGATGATCGGACAGTCTATTTTTTTCAGCTGCTTACACCATCCTCTGGCTCCATATTCAGCATAACTTTTAATCAATGTGAGTGTAACCTTTTTAATTTTTATTTCAAGTTTATCTTACAATAAATCAATTTTTTAATATACTAATACTTGGAATAACTTTCTGTATTAGCACTTGGATCTTATTTTATCTCATCACTTTATTAAGTATTATAACTAAAGGCTACTTTATATAGCCTGTCAGTTAGTTATTTATTCTCTGGTACAAGATACAATATTACAATTATAAGGACCATATATATTGTTATATTGTAACTAATTCAGTATCCAGACCCCAGTTCATCTATAACTGGAGTGAACTGAATTAGTTTACAAACAAAGATTTAAAAAGACTATTAATCTATTTCATTTATAGCTATTATGATATAGCTTTTCAGCAAAGAGACTGTTAATAATTGGACTTTAATTCTATATTGGACATTACTGTTTTTCGTTATTTTTATTTCATTTATTTTATTTATATTTTACAACACTAATTATTATCCTTAAGGCATTTACCAGCTCCAAGTATACCTATGGAATAGAAGAGTTGCAAAGTCACAGCAGGAATTCACATAGTTGGCCCTCAAAGAATACACACACTGCTATGACAGAGCTTACTGCATATATCGAAGTTCATGTCATATCACCACCTTACAAACTGGTTCAAGAATACGATTGGGGGCTTTCGCCAATTTTTGCCACATCAAATATAAATGTCACACAACACTATTAAGTTATATCTCCTGGGAATTCAACACCACATGTTCTCAGTTACAAACACCATTCTCAAACCACCATATACTTGGCTTTTATGGTTTCCTACTGTGGCGAAACCAACCTCGCCACATTGCATTGGAGGAGCCTGGTTGCCCACCTGCTGCCTTTGGATTATGGACCGGCAGCTAAAGGGTTAATTTTACTGTGCAGAAGGATTTATTTCTCCCTTTCTGCACAGCCGTTCGGTAGATTCTATCTACCGAACAAACAGTTTCTTTTCAGCCTCCCCAGAGCCGTGGGAAGCCAGCCGGCGACCTTAATTGGCCACCCAGAAGCTGGAGTGCGCCCTCCATTTACCTCCCTGAAGCCGCGGCTTAACGAGCGTGTGCCGGCAATTGACCACCCAGTAGCTGCGGTTAACCGCAGCTTAATTGATTGTTACTGGGTGGTCGCGGTTACACTTAGCCGCCACACGATGGCGGTGTTCTGGAGCTCCCCGGGCAGCTAGCGCTTTTCTGCCCGACTTTCCTGCATCAAACCCGGACACTTTTACGTGCAGGCACCGCTGAACCTCCAACCCCTGGTTCTTATTCGTACGGATTTAACGAATGCATGTAAATTCGGTAATTTGTGTTGGGGGAATGTTTTAACCCAGATAGCTATGCCATGGAGCCTGTTCGTGGAATTAAAGACTTTGGCTCCATGGCAATTAAACTGTATTCGTGTGGTCTGAGTGCCATTCACCTAATAACGTGCGCTCAGACCTGAGCTATCTGGGGATATGTTACATGTATATATTTACTGTACCATTTGTCCCATTATGTATTTTAAAGTGATAGTCTGTCTTTGTGTCCCCACGTGTGTAATGGAGTTTTGCCTTTGTCCTGGGAGATAATTGAATTACTTCTCCAGGGCAGAGGGGAGGAAGCCAGGATGCATTGTGGGGATGTTTCACTTCTGTATGTCTGTAATTGGTACATGTCTGTCTTTTGTTACAGTCTTCCATCTGGTCCCCTAGGGGAGTGTCCACCAGGTGGGAGACCTGCATAAATACTGGGCAGGTAGCCCTCATCAAACAGACCACTGCTTGACCCTCAACACAGAGCCTTGTCTCTTTGGGGGGATCTACTGTATGCTGATAGAGACTGATTGCCAGGAGTGTAAGCCGCTTGGGTGCTTTTCCTGTTCGTCTGCTAGCAGCTATTCGTGAGGTTCCAGTTCGAGTGTTTGGAGCATTCCCTTGTATGCAGTTCGAGTGTTTGGAGCATTCCCTTGTATGCAGTTCGAGTGTTTGGAGCATTCCCTTGTATGCAGTTCGAGTGTTTGAAGCATTCCCTTGCATGCAGTTCGGGTGTTTGGAGCATTCCCTTGTATGCAGTTCGGGTGTTTGGTGCATTCACTTGTATTCAATTCGTGAGTTTTGGTGATTCTACAGTAGCTGTGCCTGTCTCTGAAAGGGGATTATCATCTAAGCGGTTTTTACCCCTTTTGTGCAAAAAGGTCCGTTACACCTACAACCCAGAGAATTGACCATCATAGGGCAACACGATTCCAAACTTTGCATATGCCCACCCAGAATCCTATGCGGTAGTAACATAACTGCATATTTGTGATTTCTGTGGGAAAAAAGTCTTATGGTTTGACTGGTGTGCAGATTTTTGTTTAACGTTATATTAACTATCCACAGATTCAGGTGGAAAGGGTTTTCAATCACAATTTCTCCCCACCTTTTTGGATTTTGCTATATATATTTAACTATTAACTACATAATTATTTGATTTCATGAATTATAATTTGAGGGTATAACAGATGTAAAGAAGAATGTGATAGGTGCTCACTCCAATATAAAATATAGAGTAATTTGTAGGCTGCGGTAACCAGTACAAGGATTCCCGACCTTGTGAAAAGAGAATTTAAACAAAAGAAAAAAGAGGAACCGCACCCCAAAGAGTAATATAAGAAGTAATATACGTACACAAAGACTTTTGTACAAATGGTTCTCGTATAACATCAAATATAAAAACAGAGAAAAAACAAAATAGTGCAATAGAGTATGGTGACAGGGCAGTCTATAATATGAATAGGACCCCGGGCAAAGCCTTTTCTTGGGCCTCCTGGGCCCTGTCACTGCACCCTCCCTCCCCATTACGCCCAACCCGCAATCACACTGACAGACATACTGACACACACACAGACAGACACATTAAAACATTTGCAGATACATACCGACACACACATACACTGACACAAAAATATATACTGGCAAACATTGACACACATTCAGACATACTGATACACACACAGACACATACATAGTCACAGACACATACACTGACAGATATATTGACACAGACACACACAGACATATACACTAACAGGCGTATTGACATACACAGACATACTGACATACACACACACACACTGGAACACAGTGAGACATACTGACATACACACACAGACATACTGACATACAAACACACAGACATACACACAGTACTTCTGTGTGTGTTAGTATGTCTGTGTGGTGTGTTAGTATGTCTGTGTGTATGCCAGTATGTCTGTGTGTGTTAGTATGTCTGTGTGTGTTAGTATGTCTGTGTGGTGTGTTAGTATGTCTGTGTGGTGTGTTAGTATTTCTGTGTGTGTATGTCAGTATGTCTGTGTGTGTATGTCAGTATGTTTGTGTGTGTATGTTTGTGTGTGTGTATGTCAGTATGTGTGTGTGTATGTCAGTGTGTGTGTATGTCTGTGTGTGTATGTGTCAGTATGTCTGTGTGTGTATGTCAGTGTGTCTGTGTGTGTATGTCAGTATGTCTGTCATAGACACACAGACATACTGACATACATACACAAACAGACATACTGACACAGACATACTAACACACACACATACTAACACACAAACACATACTAACACACTAACACACACACACAGACACAGACATACTAACACACACACAGACATACTAAAACACACACACACACAGACATACTAACACACACACACAGACATACTAACACACACAGGCATACTAACACACACACACACATACTAACACACACACACAGACATACTAACACACACACACAGACATACTAACAAACACACACAGACATACTAACAAACACACACACACAGACAAACTAACACAAACACAGACATACTAACACACACAGACATACTAACACACACACACATACAGACATACATTTAGCCACCCTCCAGGTTCTTACCTTTTTATGGAGGGTGGTTTCCCTGGGGTCCAGTGGCAGGCTGAGGCAGATGGGAGTTATTCTCTGGAACTCCCCTCCTCCCTGCCTTCCTCCTCCCGCGCGGCTATCTCCGGTGGGAGGAAGTGACACGTAGTACTCACTTCCTCCCAGCCGGAACAGGAAGGGGCCCGGTCGCGCTGTTTAAGCGTCACAGCGCCCGACCGGGCCCCTTCTGCCACATGCACACAGGGTGGCCCTTAGTGCATGGGCCACCCGGGGGCCTTAGTTGGCGGGCCGGTGCGGCTGCCGGGTACATGGGGGCTGCTGAAATCGCGGGGCCCATGGGGCAGCTGCTCTGGGGCCCCCCCAGGAGCAACTGGGTCCGGGGTAGTTGCCCCGTTTGCCCCGCGCTAAAGACGGCCCTGTATGGTGAATAGATAAAATTTTAGAGTGGATTAGAGTAATATACACTCACATTTGGTAGAGCTAACCAGGAGCTCTACCGTAATTCATATGGACGGAACAATCCCCGTCTAAGGATCTATATGGAAGCGAATGACTCCAATGCTCCAGGAAGGCAGCAATATAGAAGACATAAAAGGAAACTCCTATAGTGCAGTATATTCTGATGATAATAGAAGGAGATAAAATAAAGAATATGGTACTCACATTTGCTAGAGCAGAAACTTGCTCTAGTATACTCAGCTTAGGTGGTATAATCCCCACCAAAGGATATAATAACCAGGAAGTGAGGTGTAGAGTAAAAAAAAATATGTATAAATAGATATATATATATATAACTTTTAAAATACACTATTTAATAACATACAAGTAAAACAAAAACAAAGTGTCATAAGGAAATATGTCATTATGACACTTTGTTTTTGTTTTACTTGTATGTTATTAAATAGTGTATTTTAAAAGTTATATATATCTTTTTATATATATTCTGTTTTACTCTACACCTCACTTCCTGGCAGTAACCCTTACAGTTTTCAGTACATGTATTCTTAAAATGCTATGTGTGTCCAAAAAATCACCAATTCTTCTTTATAAAAAAATTTTTGGACATGGATAGCTAGGTTTAATTGCCGTGTTAGCACTTTGAGGAAAAATAATTGGCATGTATTGTGGTTTGGGCACTCGGGCTTAAAAAGGTTCGCCATCACTGGCCTAGGGTATTAAACATGGGGTATTTGAACTATTTTCATGCAACTATGATGTCCACCTGACCACATGCAGTGAGCATAAATGCAGCATTCCAGGGCAGCAGCAGAAAATTACAGAAACAAACATCAGGCACGTTGGACCTGATTTGACTTGAAGGTCGGACCCTTCATCTTTTTAGCTGGGATCTTGAAAGGCGCATAGTCGCCATTTGGGCAGATGGAATTCCCACGAAAACTTACCCCAAAAACACTGACACTGATGTATGGGTCAATATGTCCACATTTTTTATTAATATTGATAACAATAAATTAGTCATTGCCCAGCCCCCATCTCCCCATATAACATCATATTTCCCCAAAATAAAGGCAATGACCCATTATTTCTGTAAATATAAATAACATCAACAACCATAATAACAAACATCATCAACCTAATATAAGTGCCAAACTTATACCCCTACCACACACAAGGTTCTGAGCCACCACCGAGCTTGAAACCTACCAAGGTTCATAATGAAACGTTTAACCAAGCTCTTCACCAGCAGCCTAACTGCCCTATTCTATTTACACTACCCCAGAGCCTGTTTGTCCCCTAACTTTTCTCTCTCTAGCGCCGCCACTGTGACAAAACGGGTGTCCATTACCTTTACAAATGGGAGGGTGGGAGGGACAATTTAGGCCAGGTAAGCAGATTAAAAGAGCTTGTCACTAAAATGGCTGCCTATTTATACTGGGCCAACCCCCTTTTATACTCTCACTCCACTCCCACATGGGGCCTTCCCCCTATGCCCGCCTCCTAGCTCTGTCAAGCCCCTATTCCACTAAGCTGCACTTGTTCCATTCGGTTACAAGAAAGTGCTTCCGCTTCAAAGTAACCAATTTTCTGGATCTGCCAACATTAGCTGCTCGGTGAGTCATTCATGTGTCCAGGTACACTAATTGCAGGAGATTATTGCCATCCTGATGGACTGGGTCAATGTTATATATATATATGAACAAAGGAAAATGTAGCAGAATGGACCCTGCTATCCTAATTTATACCAGCTCTTGGCTGTCTGTATCCCCTTTGTTTTCCCCTCTCCTTGACCCCCTGTGTGAGAAAAGTAACCCTAACTGTGCGAGACTTACTCCCCTGGCTTTGTAACCTAAGTTTTTGGCCCCTGTTTCACCTGGCCATTCGTCAAAATCCATTCCCTTAAGTGGTTCCCATGGATTTGTGCAACAACCGAACAAACTACTGAATGGCAGACCACCCAGCTATGGAGTGTGCCACTCATTAACTCAGTTCACACCTCCACAAACTGCAACCACACGAACGTTCTATGTGGCCGGCTGGGTGGTCGCCGTTCATATAGACGAACACGTGGCGGTGGTCATCTTGGGACATGAACAAAGGCAGTGGTGTTTGGTCATCGAGTGCATGAAACTAAAATTGGACACTCAGCGGCGCGAACACCGCTGGGGCTTCCACCTCCATCGAAGTTCACCTAAAAGTTCACGGACAAAGCGCTATTCAGTAAAAACAATCTACCAAACTAGATCCATCCAATAAAGTTATGCACGAATGGATCCCTTCATGCAATTTACACATTATTTGACTGAGAAGATAGACTGGCTGCACAGCCTAATTCTCTGGAACTCTATTGGGCATGAAATCAAGCGTGCGATCGGTCAAATGTGACTTCCACAGAATTTGTGAACCCCTGCTCTGATCTGGGTGATTTTTGGATATGCTGTTCACCCAGATCAGAGCTATGCAGGGATGTGCCATTTATGGGGATATGTAATGTTGTTGGGGTACTTCTAGAAAATGTGAAATATTAGTTTTTTCCTGCCTGGAGATAATTGAGTTATTACAGTATCTACCTCAATTATCTACCAGACAGAGGCTTGTACATACTGTATGGGAGTGTCTCTATGTATAACCCTGTTTCATTGGTCTGTGAACTTTGTATCTCGTTGCCCCACAAGGTCCACCTGGGCGATAACCTTGTGGGGAAAATCACATAAAAGGCAGTGTGCCACCATTAAACTTCATTAAACTGAGTGTCATCCAGTTACTGAGGAGGTGTTAGGAGAATCTTGTCTTGCCTTGCTGTATTTACCTGTTCCTGTGGATTACCTTCCTTGTTCCTGAGTCATCTTGGAGAAAACAAGTGGAGAAAAGTCCCTGCTAGACTAGCACTCCACTACTGCATTTCATAGGTTTGCACAAACAATAATTTACCTGGTGCTTAAAGGACCACTCTAGGCACCCAGACCACTTCAGCTTAATGAAGTGGTCTGGGTGCCAGGTCCAGCTAGGATTAACCCATTTTTTTTATAAATTTATGTTAGGGTTAATCCATCCTCCAAATCCTCTAGTGGCTGTCTCATTATGAATGCTTTCCTATGAGACCGGCTGAATGCACGCGCAGCTCTTGCCACTCGTGCGTATTCAGCTGAAAGGGAGGATCGGAGGCGTAGAGAAGGAGGAGAGCTCCCCACCCGGCGCTGGAAAAAAGGTAAGTTTAACCCCTTTCCTCTCCCCAGAGCCGGGCGGGAGGGGGTCCCTGAGGGTGGGGGCACCCTCAGGGCACTATAGTGCCAGGAAAACGAGTATGTTTTCCTGGCACTATAGTGGTCCCTTTAATCCGGCAATATTTTACAGATTTGTCAAGAGGATAACACTCTAGGATTCCACTTTTGGTGTTCTTAGAGGAGAGTCACACTGAGGGAGGTGAGTGCACATTAATTCTAAGTTGTTTTATTTGTAAATAAAGATGAATTGTACCATGCATGATTGTTATCCGAGGAAACATTTGATGTAAATATGAAATGTTGATTGTGACAAAAGCAACTTTGCCACTGATTTTTGGAGGGGCCTGTTTGCCAGCCTCTTACCCTGGGACTATGGGCCCTGTGATTACCCATGTTCAAAAATACGGTTTCTGTCCCTTGGACATTTAACTGGAACATGTGGCGGCAGCCATCTTAAATTGTCCAGCAGTGTTGTGTTCATGAAACTCAAAGCAGACATGCGACGGCATGAACACCGATGAAACTTTACCTTCTCTGGACTTTGACTATTTTACTGGAGCCAAACTCTGTGCGGCAATTCGAACAGCACTTCAACATGGACTTTGTGCACAAACATCACCCGTTAGTGCATTTGAAGTGAACTGTTAACTATTGTAAATAGACCGGCAGCACATCCTAATTCACTGGAACTGTTTTGGGCATGAAGGCATGCTTGCGGTCGGTCAAATATGACTTCCAGGAATATCCTGAACCCCTGCTCCGATCTGGGTGATTTTTGGATATGTTGTTCACCCAGATCAGGGCTATGCGGGGATATAACATTTTATGGGGATATGTGGTGTTTTGGGGTGTTTTTGGCACTTTGTGAAAAATTTATTTTTTCTGTTTGGGGATAATTGAGTTAATTACAGTATCTTACTCAATTATCTCCCAAGCAGAGGGGAGGAATTTACTGTAATGAATGGGAGTGTTTAACTTTGTGACTGTACAGAGATGGGACCGAAGTCTCTCTACCAGCCCTACAGGGATGCTGGGCAGCCGGGCCAGATCCCAAGCGGCAGCTGGAGTTACTGGGAGAGGAGACAACTGGTCTCTCCCCCCCAGCGGCCGTGCATCTCACAGGGAGAGGAGACAACCGGCCTCTCTCCCCAGCGGCAGCATATCCTACAAGCGATCTCCCTTCCCAGCAGCAAAGTGCATCCCAGGGGGCCGAAGGTGTCGTCCTTCACCCCCAGCGGCAGTTTACTTTGCAGGGAGAGGAGACAACCGGTCTCTCTCCCCAGTGGCAGTGTAAATTGCAGGGAGAGGAGACAGCCGGTGAGTTTCAGGGAGAGGAGACAACCGGTCTCTCTCCCAAGCGTCAGTGTAAATTGCAGGGAGAGGAGGCAGCCGGCCTCTCTCCCCAGCGGCAGCATATCTTACTGGGAGTGGAGACAAGCGATCTCCCTCCCCAGCAGCAGTATGCATCCCAGGCGGCTGAAGGTGTCGTCCTTTCCCCCCAGCAGCAGTGTGTTCTACAGGGAGAAGAGACAGTCGTCTCTCTCCCAAGCAGCAGAGCAATTTATTGGGAGTCTCACTCTCCAGTGGCAGTGTGTTTCAGGGGGAGGAGCATATCGCCCTCTCTCCCCAGTGGCAGCTTACCCTACAGGGAGAGGAGACAACCGGTACCTCCCCCCAGCTACAGAGAGGCATCATTTCATTCCACGATGGTGCAGATGAGACCATGGTCTCTGCACCAGACCTACAGGGATGCTGGACGGCCTGTCCAGATCCCCAACTAACCTCGCAGGGATACCAGGAGGAGGAGGTTAGCAATGTCTCGTCTCCCCAGCCAATTTCCAGACGGCTCTGGGGTTAGTGGATGGGACTACCATATCCACTGACCCCCTTCCAGCAGAAGAGCTGGCATCAGGGTTGCTGACCTCTGCCCTCCCTTTGCACAGGTCCTGACTACCTGCAGGCGACCCCAGCAGAATCGCTGGCAACCGGTCAGAGCGCAGGTAGCCTCTGCCTTCCCCTGGTCCCAGGAACTAACAACTCCCCCCACTATGCAGCAGTACCGCTGGATATAGGACTGAGACCGACGACAGGAGTCACCAGGTCCAGTCATTGCTTTTTGTGGGCTGCCCGACTAACTCAGGTACTGACCGACAGAAGGTCAGGTACCTGGTTAGTCTCCCCCGGAAAGGTAAGATGTGTGATGAAAGCAACTTTGCCACTGGTTTTTGGAGGGGCCTGTTTGCCAGCCTCCTACTCTGGGTCTATGGGTCCTGTGATAACCCATATTCAAAAGTAAGGTTTATGCCCCTAGGACTTTTAACTGGAACAGATTCAAACATGTGGTGACAGCCATCTTAAAATGTCCAGCAGTGTTGTGTCATCGAGTTCATGGAACTGAAATCGGACACGCGACGGCACGAACACCGCTGAAACTTTACCTTCTCTGGACTTTGACTCTTCGACTGGAGTTGGACGCTGTGCGACAATTCAAATGGCACTTCATTGTGGACTTTGTGCACGAAGGGCACCTGTTCGTGCATTTAAAGTGAACTGTTAACTATTGTTAATAGACCGGCCGCACAGCCTAATTCACTGGAACTGTTTTGGGCATGAAGCAATGCTTACGGTTGATCAAATATGACTTCCAGGAATCTGGGTGATCTTTGGATATGTTGTTCACCCAGATCAGGGCTATCCGGGGATGGGGATATGTTGTGTCTTGGGGTGTTGTTACTTTGTGAAAAATGTGTTTTTTCTGTTTGGGGATAATTGAGTTAATAACAGCATCTTACTCAATTATCTCACAAGCAGAGGGGAGGAATTTACTGTAATGAATGGGAGTATTTAACTTTGTGACTGTACACTATTGTCTGTGAAATGTATTTTTCGATGCCCCACAAGGTCCACATGGGTGGTAACCTTGTGGGAAAACTTGTATAAAAGACCAAGTTGTTCATTAAACCCTCAGATCTGCTTAACCCTCAATACGTAGCTTTGTCTCGTGTTTGTAGGCAACAGCTATATTCACACTGGGGATTGCTATAATTTTATACTCTGGGCTCTAATCACTTAGCTCTTTTAAGAGCTGTTCCTGATACACCCTCCAGGAGGAGAGGTCTTTCTCACACAGTCCTGGATGTCAGAGGTTGATCCAGGGTGGAAGGAAGACGGCAAGAGTCCAGTTAAGCTGCGGTGGTTGTGGAGTCTGCGGTGGTTGTGGTGTCCGGTGCAGTGCTTATAGTCCTCGGCGTCAGCTAGGAAGCATCCGTTAACGGAGGTACCCAGTCGGAGTGCCAGCTGATCTGTTAGATTGATTTTGCTAAATAAAACTATGTTTTAAACTTTTGATGAATCCTAGAGTATTATCCTCTTTAAAACCTGTATATACAGGTATAAATATTGGATAAGGTTTTTATGCCACTTTATCATTTTGTGGAAAATGATTCATCCAACAGCTGTTGGTATTGAAGACACATTTAACTGTAGCCAAAGACAATTATTGTTCATTCTTAGCCAAAGACACCCAATAAAGCTTAAGCAAAACTTGATTATTTTATTGCATCATCTGGTTAAATTGACAAAGAAAATATAAAATGCAGAATCACAGATGTTGAACGCAATGAACTGCAATATATTGTTCTGTTTTAAAACTTTATAAAGAAGTCATAACTCACCTTCCAACGTGAGAAGATTGAGAACTCACTTAATTTCCCCTGCTCGTTGCTGTCGCCAATGAAATCATTTGTGCAAAGGGCACAACCAGAGTCATCTTGCCAGTCATTGTACGGACATGTAAAAGTCTCAACACCAGTACAGATTCGCATCAGATGCTCAAAGAAGAGGATGTAGAGTCGATGCCAGGTAAGGAACCCAGAAGAGGCATGAGCGTAATTTAAACCACCGACTACCTGGCTGTTATTAATCGCAGGTTTGATAGCATAGTAATGGAGAAAGGCAGCGATATCATAGTATGAGGCATTCTTGAATTGGAAGGTATCTTTGTAGAATCGGTCTCCTGTGGTCAGTATGACATATTCTTTGGAGATCTTTGTTTTGCAATAATGTAAATAGGCAAAAAAGGTCTTTCTCTCCACTAGTGAGTACTCCCGGAGTTCCCTCCTCACTAATTCAATTCTTTTGCTACAGTCTGATCCCCACCATCCAGATTTGCAATATCCGCAGTTGTACTGGCCGTAGTTGCCAAAGCATCGACAGGTCCTGTTGAAGTAATATAGTGGCCAGGAATATCGATCATCATATGACAAAGGGTTATTACCCTTTGCTCTACTTTGTGGTATAATTTGACATATGCCCCTCCCAGAGTTATATCCACAAGGGCTTCCATCCAATAAGGGGCAACAAGTATATGTTCTAAGGGCTTCAGGCGTTGTACATTCTCTGGGAAATGTAGCAATCACTGTACCGAGAAAGAGCAGGAGAACACCTACGGTCAGCATGACTTTATAACTGGTTCAAGATGGACGTCAACCTGTAGACAGTGAAAAATGCAAAGATAATGAAAAAGTTATTCTGCAATTCGCGTCGTAGAAATCGCTTTCAAACTGATTAATTAATTCGGTATTGTATTTGCCGATAGAATTTCTATTGTCTTTTAATGTCTGTTTCGCAAACCTTCATTGAATAATCTGTACTGTAGGAGGCTGTAACATTTACATTTATTATTTTTTCTATTACTCATTTATTTTATTTCACCAGACTGAAGTAGTGTAAATAATTCATACTATCCAGGAGAGGTGTATCATAGATGAGAGGATTTCCAGGTTATAAATAAAGTTTCTTTAAGATTTTTTGCTCCTGGATATTTTTTTTTCTTTTCTGCTCCTGGATAGCTTCTCATGTATGATACACAGCTCCTGGTAATATCTGTAGTGGGGATTTGTTCCACTAAGGTGCTAAGGATTGAACAATACCCTCAGATTGCTCTGGGAGAAGTGAGTAATGTCCATTCCTTTCCCTGCACGGTTTTGTTTTGTTTATAGAGAGCACTATGTTTTGTATTTTTATTTATTAGGCTCTATTGCTTTTCTGGGGAAGCCTTATGTGACGGAGCTCCCTGTACCCTTGTTTTGGATCAAAGAAAACTTTGATAATTTGTCTATCTACACCTTCCAAATTGATTGATTAATGCGTGCACGCTTTCCCTAGAAGTAATTCACACCAGAGACAAAGTTACTGATCAGTGAAAAACCAAGGAATGCTTTATTCCCTGGAGTGGGAGTTCCTTTTAAAGCAGAAATACGTCATGTACAGAGTCACAGTTTAAACATACAGTATACATTCAACAATTGGTTAACAGTCTAAGGATTCTTGTCTAAACCCCCCCTACAGGATGTAGTGTCGTCATTACAGACTTCTCCCGCCTATATTCCAGCTCCTGGATACACGATGACAGGGGGAGTGAGTAGTTTCTTTCAGTTACTTTAACAGTGATTCTCCATTTTGTTACACGTGGCATATAGCTGTTAACTGGCACAAAGGAAGTGGGGGAGGAGTTATTAAAGGAAGCTGTTACACAAGGTTTGCTTGATGGGAAGGGGGATGCTTAGCAGGATGTGAGGAATTTACAGAGGAAATATCAACTGAACACATTGTAGGGGGGGAGGGAATATTTACTCTAGCAGCCAGTTTTAACATTACACAGAATAAATAGACATTAGTAAATAGCCATTTTATTCTAATTCATCTGTCCATAACAGTCCCCCCTTAAAATGGCAATTTAATTAGAAACTACTATCTCTCACTCTAATACTGTCCCTATAGAAAAATAACAAAAAGGCTATCTTGCACATCTGTCTGAACAGGCCTCGAACACTTCACTGCGCGGGTAACCCGTAGCAGCTTGTCCACTACTTCTTCCCGCGACAGACTTCTGCCCGTAGAGACAGACGCTATCCCTGAATGTCCTTAAGAGGAAGTAGCTGTTGATTTAGTGCGGTTGGACTGTAAGGGTGTATGTGGTGTATCACGGTCTATGTCGTCAATCTCTTGGTGAAGGAAGGTCGGGGTGGTCTGGTCGATTGTCTGATCAACTGTCTTTTGTAGGCATTTCTTAAGACAGGGTAACACACAACAAACAAGAAGAGCGAGGATGATTATCGTTATTAAAATGGCAACACCTATTTGGGCCAGAGCACTTTGCCATCCAGTCATCCATCCAAACCATCTTTCCCATGGATCTGCGGCCCCAGAATTTCGTTTCAGCTCGTTGGACAAATTCTTTAACTTTTCTATTGCCAACGTTACCTTACCATTAGGGCCTGTATTATCTGGAATATAGGTACAGCATGTTATGGTGTCTGGGAGTATTTTACATACTCTCCCTTTTTCTGCCAAAATCATTTCCAAGCTTATTCTATTCTGGAAGGTCATCTGAGAGGTAGTTTGTAACCGTCCTATCCCACCATATATCCCATAACAAGTATAGTTCCCGCCCTATCCCACCATTTATCCCATAACAAGCATTCGTCTGGGCATAATATTTTTAGTAATGATTGGGTATTAAGTTTCCATGACTCGCATGCTGACCGCTTAGGTGTAGAGACTTAAAACGCATACTTCATATCCGGAGGAAGGTTCAGGGATACAGTACCTGGGTGAGGCCTCGCTCCTCCGCAGACATAGCATTTAGACTTGTTATGTTTAGTAGCATTGTATTTCATCCATTCAAGTAACAAGTTAGTGTCAGAGAAACCTGTCTCTACAGCCCTAGTATCATCAAATATGGGATGACTACCATGTCTTATAAAGTCCTAATGTGTGGTTTGAGGGGATTAACAGTCATGTGCGTGGCACCTACCCATTCAAGTGTGTCATACATGTCCTGTAAGAAAAAGGTCTCCTGTTTATTGTATAAACCTCTTCCCTTCCAATTCAGATTTTATTAGCCGTAATGCTTGGGAGAATAGATTCAACCTTAGTTTCTTACCTTAAAATCATTTGGTACCCCCCTTGACACCCCTATGGCATTAATATATATATATATATATATATATATATATATATATATATACATATATATATATATATATATATATATATATATAAGGGTAAAACCACCCTTTATAGGGGTACTCCTTTTTGTCCTGAAGCATAATTGAGGTGTGTCAAGAGTACCTTGGGGATTGTCATGTGTTATGTGTATGGACATAATAACCTTGGCTAGGGCACATTTACTTATTCTTAATCTTAGAAATCTTGTCTCATGCTACCCTAGTACTGACAGATTCAGATAATTTAAACATTCAATATTAATATCACCACAAACTCAAGATAAGCAGATGATCCTGAAGAAGCTTTGACTGTGCGTATGGCACCTCAGACGTGAGGGCTGCAGGGTAAGGAGTATGTTTGTTTCTCTTTAGTTTCACGAGGTCCCCTTTTGGGGTATTCGGCTTTCCATCGATGGCAGGTGGTCAGGCATTATTATGGCCATCAAAACACCCACTTGTTGATATTTATTTATTTTTTCAACAAGTATCTTTGTTCTCTAAGAATGAAGTTTCAAAAAGGGTTGTCAAGATCAACAAATGCTACTTCACATGATGCAGAGGCAGGCTTGATTCTGGAATGATGAATCCACGGGGTGATCTCTGTAACTTTCACGGTGCACTACTCAGCATGTGGTCTTGGTTATCACTTTGGTGGCTGGATAGGCCTCTGGCCATCCTGAAAACATGTCTGCTATAATTAGTGCATATTTGAATCAGCCATTCTTTGGCATTCTGGATGTAGTCGACTTGACTCCTCTGGAAGAGATAATGAGGTTTGACTAGATGCTTGGGGCTTTCCTCCATTCTTCCTGAGTTGCCCTTGGCACAAATGGTACAAGATTTACAGTAACTGTTGGTCAGAGAGGCAATTCCTGGTACTTCAGAGTATTTATTGATCAAAAGAGTTCATGAGGGTTCTGGACAGATACTCCGTAGGCCCACTGGACCACTGCTGAGTATATGTTCTTGGGCAAGCAGAACTTGAGATTGTTGAAGTACAGCCTGTCTTTAAGGGTTGCCCCTTTCTGTTTCCAGCTTGTGTTTTTTTTCCTTTCCAGGGTCAGTAGCTGCTTGTTATTCCTTCAGGAGCTTGATGTCTGTGGGTAGGATCTTACATGGTGAATATGGGAGTTTCTTCAGCAGACACTTTTCTGTCCACTTCCCTTAGTGCACTTACAACTTCTTGAACAACTTGGTCAGCCAGAGAGTTGCCACATGCTTCCTCTGAGTTCAGTCTTCCTTCAGAGATCTTGCATGCTGTGATGGGAGCCTATAGCTCAGCTTCTTGTGCAGACATTGTTGAGGTGAGATACTTGGTCCACTGTAGTGACAGCAAATCCGGAACAGATCATGAGTAAAAGGCTAAAAAAAATAATAGTCAGTGTCTTATAATTCCCCCCCCCCCATGGGAAGTGGCAGAAGAGTGGCCAGGTAAATAGAGTATCATCCCTGCAGGGTGACACTATCCTGCACAGAATTCGTCCATCACAAGGAGAGGTGGGATATTGCATGGAAAGTCTCAGGGAACCAGGGCACCATTCGACACCAGAGCCTTAACCTGTTAGGGAATAGTAAGAGCTTGGAATGGCTTTGGGGCCTGTATAATTCAGGTAAAGGTATTGGGGGAACTAGCTTGCCTCTTGGTCAGGTTTCACTGTGTGGAACAAAAGAAATAATAAGGTGATAGGGGCCTTCAAGTGGGGGAAGGACATCTTCACCTAGCAGATTAATTGGACAGGTGAAGGTAACCACAAAGCAAGGCTTAGTTAACAGGCTACTCCAAGGAGAGCCATCTACACTTATGCAGGAGACAACAATTTTAGACAGGAATGAGGAGTCAGGCAGGCCTTGCTTGGTACAAATAGATGTCATGTGGCCTGCTATACAAGGCTGCATATAGTTGGGCATGGGCCTTACTATGTACTAAAACTTAAGTTAAAAGAAAATTTGGGACAACCTGAAGTGATACTTCTCCACAGATGCTAACTCATCGTTGATGACATTGTTAATACAGGTAGCCTGATCAGCCAATTTATCTTAGGCTTAAACAAGTCACACCATATAGTGGAATGGGTCATTAGGATTCGGGCAATTCTACAGTTAAAGGGCATAGTAAGTGTAAGGAAACCAAGTACATTTAAACCTTAATCGGTAGTTTCCTCCCGAACAGCCAGAGCCCAGTGAATATAGCCCTCCGTTCGGTAGTTATAGTAGACGAATTCCCAATTGTAAATCCAATAGTGTTCCTGGATAATTCCCACAGTAAAACACACAAACTCCCAAACAGCATACGTAGTCAGAATAAGGGTACAAAGATGAACTGTTTATTGGCACACAAAGAACCTTCTTTTATGCAGGTCCCCATGCAAGGGGACATCCCACAGGGTGGGACACAGTACAACCATTCACACAATGGTTACATCCCACACATCCCCTCCCCTTAGCCTGAGAGGTAACCCAATTATCCATACATTTTAAAACACACTTTTTACCCAACTTTCATAACTCCAAAACCATACATCCAATATTAATAATCAGCACATCCCAAATACAAACATACCCAAAAATCATGCAAATCCTTCCATTAGTTCAAAAGTTAGTTAGAAGTCCTTTGTGACCCAAAGGAAGCATGGCTTTTCTGCCCAAACCAGTTCCCACTGGTCTGGCAGTGTCCCTGGGACAACTCCCTGCTTGAGAACAATAGACAGGAAACGGGGGAGGGGAAGAAACACACCTTCCCATGGATTCCAATGGGGAAGAAACTGTCTTTAGAAGCCAACAAGCCCCAAAGTTTGGATTTATAAAGGGGTGACAGGGTGGTCTGCATTCGGTAGTTTTACCTACCGAATGCCATAGGGAAACATTGCTATTGACACAAATACAAAGAGGGCATATACAGAATAAAAAAGGCATTTCTTCACAGTAAGGATGGACGCGATGTTACTTTAGGAGTAGGCGTGGCTGTGGATAGGGGGAAATCAGCCTTATCCATTCCCATATATTATTCCTTTTGTCTTCAGTATATCCAAAACATGTGTATGTCCAGGCGTTGCAATATACAGTAATCCATTATCAGTCATGATATTAATATCTAATTCTCATGAATTAAATCAAAGATTTTAAATCAACCTCAGAAGCAACAAAGAATAAATCTATTGTTTTTTCTTCTGTAAAATGATTGGAGTTACTGTATAATAGCATACACCCAATATATCATAGATTGCATGTCTCCTAACTGCTACATTAGTGTATTTCATTCTGCCATATTTGCAAACTTGATGTAAATTTTTATTTTAATTAATTAACCTAATACTTTCTTATAACACACATAAAAACAATGAAAGACAGTACAGACTAACAATTCATTTAAAACAACAAACTAACATAGATCTCTATTCTTGTGCTGTCCTTAATTCTGGAATCAGCCTGTGTACATCTGTTGGCGCACATATCCACGCTCATTCCCTAAACTGATCATATCTATTGAAGTTCTCTGATTATTATAACTTTCTGTGTTACACTGCATTGCTTGTCTGTCTCCTAATTTCGATTTAGCTAAAATTGCTTTTATTTGTCTGATTATCAGTTTACAAGGAAAGGCTTTAATTGATTTATCTCCACATGTATTTTCTCTGTCAAAATTTTCAATCAACAAATTTAATTTCTCATTTGCTTTTGATTTGATATCTCAGATAAAATATCTGCAAGATCTAAGATAATGTTGTTTATTGCACCAAAAACAAATAACTTTAAGAGTTATATTCTGCCTTTTATTATCAACTCTACAGTTTTTAGTTGAATAAATTGGGAGGGGCTCAGCTGTCTGTATCACTCTTTTACACTGAGTCCTAGAAGAAGGAGGAGGAGGGGGACGAGGGGTGTAAAATCTGCACTTCTTTCTCTGCCTGAATCCACAAGTCGTTTTAACCCCTTCATTATTGGTTTATCTCCTTAAGTTATCCAAGTACAAAGCTACTTCTGTCAAAGTGCTTTTTTCTCTAGCTAACACAATTGGAGTTGGATCTAGATCTTGAAATTTTTTCACAAATTCATTAATTAACTGATCTTCAGAAAAATCAGCAACAAGTCTATATGCACTTTCAAATTTTACAAGAAAACTAAATATATCCTCCCCCTTGTGTGGTTTTAGTTTTTCCAACATTTCAGTGTCTGCATTTTTCTTGTATTAACACACACGTGCTTAACTTCATTTGTAAGCTGGCAAAAAAAATCATTTCTTAATTCAACTCTATCCTCTAATTCACAGACTTTTTCTGACAATCTCTCACAATTACAGTGTGTGCTCTCTGTTACTTTGTTACACTGGTCATTTAAATCTGATTTGTCTTCTGTTAACATATTCAAATTTATTTCTTTATCTGCTGATTCTAAATTTTCTTGACCTGCATCTCGTTTACAAATCAATGCATTGTAAGTACAGACTAGTTTCATAACATTTCTGATCTTTTTTTTTTTTTTAACAGCTAATGGCCAGTTAATGGCCAGCAGCTGGAAGATTTCCCTTACATTCCTCATCCCCCCCTGTAGCCAATACTCATAGCAGTCAGAGCAAGAGAAAGCAACCAAGAAGGAGGGGGGGGGGAGAAGACTTGCAAGCACAAAGTTTTTTAACCATGTGATTGCCTAAGCACAGCTCTCCTTAGGACAAAAGATAGAATAGGAGAGTAACGATACAGATTGTATAGATTACAATTAACATATATGGTACCCAACAAGACATACACAGACAAAAGCACAAAATACAGATGTAATTAAATCACAAAGTTCTTAAAATAAATGCCGGCTTATAATAACTCAGGTCACATACATAGAAACACGCAAACACACATACAACAACTTAACTCTTTGTTCGTTGTTTTTATTATTTCAACAAACTAAAACCAATTATTTGTTTTTGTATTTCCCACAAATTTATATAAAATATTAAAATAATCCGGCCTGAATTTTTTTTTTGCACCCTGAACTTAAAAGAAAAACAACAAAAGAAACGCCAAGATTTAATATTAAAATATTAATATAATCCGGCCTAAATCTCCAGGTTTTTGCACCCTGAATTCAATCGCCAGGTGTTTTCTATGAACCCGACCTCAATAATCAAAAGAAAGTAAAACAGATTCTCAAACAGACACTTTCACACATAAAACTCACACTCAGGACTCAGGCTGTAGATAGACAAGTGACAGGTTCTATATAAAAGGGGACATTCGGGCATATATATATTACCTATCTGAAGACGTTAACCACAGGAAGCCGAGTGAAGGAACGGAGTGCAGACCAATTCCAAAGACGGGAAAATATAGGTAAGTTACTCATTTACCATATGCAGAGGTGATCAGGCTCTTTTTTCCAATCTCTGGGGGTCTCCTCTCCGGTCCTGGGATTTTACGCTTCCTTAGTAACATAACCCTTTGTCCCTGTTCGAAATTGCGCCAACTGATTTGGATCAAAGAAAACTTTGATAATTTGTCTATCTACACCTTCCAAATTGATTGATTAATGCGTGCACGCTTTCCCTAGAAGTAATTCACACCAGAGACAAAGTTTCTGATCAGTGAAAAACCAAGGAATGCTTTATTCCCCGGAGTGGGGGCTCCTTCTTAAAGCAAAAATACGTCACAGTTTAAACATACAGTATACATTCAACAATTGGTTAACAGTCTAGGGCTCTTTTCTAAACCCCCCCTACATGATGTAGTGTCGTCATTACAGACTTCTCCCGACTATATTCCAGCTCCTGGATACACGATGACAGGGGGAGTGAGTAGTTTCTTTCAGTTACTTTAACAGTGATTCTCCATTTTGTTACACGTGGCATATAGCTGTTAACTGGCATAAAGGAAGTGGGGGAGGAGTTAGTAAAGGAAGCTGTTAACACAGGAATTTTGGTTACACAAGGTTTGCTTGATGGGAAGGGGGATGCTTAGCAGGATACAGAGGAATTTACAGAGGAAACAGCAACTGAACACATTGTAGGGGGGGAAGGGAATATTTACTCTAGCAGCCAGTTTTAACATAGTGAACAGAGAATAAATAGACATTAGTAAATAGCCATTTTATTCTAATTCATCTGTCCATAACACCCTGACTGCGTACCTCCGCTAAAGGACCACTTCCTGCAAAGGACGCAGGGGACGAACTGCAGCGTTTCTGCCCCCCAGTTGCCATGGCTTGACTGGGGTCCTTACAAGGATTTTCCCGTGTTGAATCCTCCACACTGGATCAGTGATTAGCCCTTTCCCCTCCCAGTAACCAGATGACACATATGTCAGAATGTAGAATATTGCATATTCTGTGTTTCTATTGATTATATATATGGATGTGTGGATTGACATAAGTAACAGATGGTATCAATAGGTCACCAGACTTTCTTTGTCTGAGAGCTCTGGAATGTGGATTTGGTTTTTTTTTCCTTATATGGCTAGAGTTAAACGCTGACGTTAGTATGGGCACATCTATATAGTAACAGAGGGACACGAGGTCGCTCTCTCTCTTGGCTCTTGGCTCTTGGCTCTGGGCTCTCTCTGGCCCTCTCTCTCGATGTAAAGATGTAAGGATGTAAAGAAGTCCATCTGCTGTTGAATGTCCATTATCCTGTAACATCATTTGTTGTTTTATTATGTATCCGTAACTAAGAATAAACCCGAAGAAACCGTAAGTCAGATTGCGTATTAGTACTTTTCAATAATATAGGCATATATTATTGTGGCGAGCATTTGGCCCAAGACTATATATGCAAAATACGTATATATATCAATCAACTGAAGACAAGAAGAAATTAAAAAGATTTATTAGTGACGACCGATTCCAAACAGATTTTACACAGGATTACAAGTTGATCCAGCACGCAGAACTGTGTCACACTTAGAACTAAGGATAACATATAACCGGACCTTAGAATGGCCGGGCTTAACGTATCCAAGGATAGTAAAAATACTTGCCGAGTTCAGGAACACAGAATCAGACACAACGATGAGGAAAAGCCAAAAGTCAAGGATACCAGAATTCAGGGAAGTCAAAACGAAGCCAAAGTCAAATACCAGAAAATCAAGATCAGGAACGCACTCTCGAATTACCATCAGGATAAAACCACGACGGGAGCTAACCGCAAATGGACGCTTGCTAACAGAGCTATGTGAGAGAGACAGGCACCTTTTGATTAGGCAATCTGGAGCCATCAGGCACCTACAGCATCATGGGACACCCCAAACACCCCTCGACAGCCTCCAACACGGCGGGCAAGCAATCCACAGCAAAATCGGGCAACCTAACAAAATACTTTAAGGATCAGGACGACCGGCGAAACAAGGCCTCAGGCTCCAATATGGTGCCGGACGACCCGGCAGAGCAATCCTCAGCACCCTCCAACCCGGCGGCATCGGACAGCATGTCACTCACTTCTGAAGCTGACAGGGACAATGACTTAAAAGAAATACTCAGAAATCTCCCTTCCAAACAAGATTTGGCAGCAATGCTACAGAAACTTGAAGTGACCTTTCAAAAGAAAATGGATGACATCTCCACGGAAGTCAGGCAGGTCAGTGAAAGGGTTAATTCCCTAGAAAATGATCATGACTGCACATGCACACAACTACAAGCTTTGCAAAGCACTGTAGCAGCTCACAACACACAAATGGCAGATATGTATAAGGCACTTGACGACTTGGACAACAGGGGACGCCGGAATAATTTAAGGATTAAGGGCTTACCTGAGGCAGAGGGGGAAAACCTACTGCAAGAGCTTTTTAAGTTAATCCTCCAACGAGATGTAACAATGCCCATTCTGCTAGATAGAGCGCATAGGGCACTCAAACCCAGGAACCCTGGGTTGTAATCTGCAGACAGCATTAAAGAGGACATCCTTAGGAGCCTCCGCCAGACATCCCAACCACTCCTGTACCATTGGAGACCAGTGCAGATATACCCAGACCTATCTTGGATGATGATAGTGGTAAGTGGATGAGACAGCGCTAAACAACTCAAGGCAGCAACCCTTAAAGGGGAATCCCTCTAGATACCCTTAAAACAAGATAAATAAAAGTAACAATAAATAAAAGGCTGTGCCACGTAAAATCTGAATAAAAAATAAAAAAAAAGTTAAATAAAAACCAATATAAAAAGTTCAAATTATGAGTCCTTATGGATAGTTTTTATGGAAGGCTGGTAAGATAGTTGGTTCTTCAAATACAATGGTGGATCATATTATATGAAAGAGAAAAAAGACGGACAACCAATGGTGCAGTATATCAAATCCAAATTAAGACGTAATGAGAGATAATGATGGAAAACTCACATTTACAAGAGCTTTTGTCCAGCTCTGAGATAAGGCGCACACAGCGGTATAATCCCCGCTTATGGGATATATATGGTGGGATATCTCTCTGTCAGGGATAATCAATTCTCGGAAGGAAGAAGAGACAACCAATAGTGCTCACTGCACTAAACACACATACTACACACAAGAAGGGAAATGTGGCAAAATGCTAGCGAGAGCCCTCCAACAAAACAATCAACGGACATACATTACCACAATCAAACAGACACACGGCATAACATACTCAGGGAATTCCACACCTACTACTTAGACATATACAACCTGAGACAATCCCCGCCCTCCAGCGAGGACGTGACCAAATTCCTTTGCACAAGGATCACCCACACCATCCCCTCGAATATTAGACAAACATTTGACAGTCCCATGACACCTGAGGAATTCACCGCAGTAGTCAAGCAACTCTCCCTGGGGAAAAGCCCTGGACTGGATGGCTTCACAGCCAAATATTATAAAACTTTCACCAATATCCTAAAAACACCATTCGTAGAATAATTTAATGCGCTCATAATGGGCCACTCTCTCCCAACCGAATCCCTAGAGGCTCTCATAACCCTCATACACAAACTGGGGAAAGACCCTGAGGAATGTGGGAGCTATCACCCCATTTCTCTGATTAATGCAGATCTCAAAATATTCACAAGATCCTAGCCGAACGTCTCCAACCACTACTTAGGGGACTGGTCCACCCAGATCAATCCGGTTTCGTGCCTGGATGCGAAGCAAAAAACAACATGACAAAATTGCTCAGCCTCATTCACACTGCCAGGTCGGAACAGTCCCAAAGCCTCATACTCACCATCGATGCCGAGGTGGACTGGTGGACTGGTCCATGCTCAAATTGACACTGCAAATGCTAGGCTTCAGCCCAAACTGGAGAAAGTGGCTCTCAGCCATATACTCCAAACCAGGTGCAAGAGTAAATGGCCAACTTTCGGACGTGTTTCAAATAGCCAATGGCACAAGACAAGGGTGTCCCTTTTCTCCCTTGTTATATATTCTCACAATGGAACCATTCTTGCAGGGAATTAGGGACTGCCCGGATATAACGGGCCTTAAAGTTGCACAAAATGAATATAAAGTCACAGTGTTTGCTGATGATCTCCTATTCACAATCTCAAACCCAGAGACATCACTGACCCGCCTCCTGCAAGAAATTGATATATACCACCAAGTCTCTAACTATAAAATCAATGTAAGCAAGAACAAAATACTCCCCCTCAACCTATCCCACAATACCCTATCTGTACTACACAAAACCTACCCATTCCAGTGGCCCTCACAATCAGTCAATTACCTGGGAGTCCAACTAACCACCTCTCTAGACCGTACCTATGACTTCAACTTCCCTCCCCTCCTGGCTATGATAGCAGCTGACCTCAAGGCATGGAACAGACCACAATTTGGATGGCTCTGCAGAATCCACATTCTAAAAATGATTGTACTCCCCAAACTCCTATACCTGTTGCAAACCTTCCCCATAAAAGTCCCTTTCTCCTTCTTCACACAAGCCAAACGGACATTTACCGCATTGATATGGAGCGGGAAAACCCCCAGGCTCCAATACGACTGCCTAATCAAAAGTAAACAGAGAGGAGGCCTGGGTCTCCCCGATCTGGAGGTGTATCACAAAGCCGTTGCAACATTGTTTCAAGCTGTTAATAGATTCTGTGTGTGTGACCGCCATTCGTGTACTGAACATGTGACAGTGGCCATCTTTGTTCGCTAAAAGTTCAGCGGTGTTTGGTCGTCGAGTGTCTGGAACTGAATTCGGCTACTTGATTTCCAAACACCGAATGGACTTCAAAGACGTTCGGGAAACTCCCTTTTTCGGTGAATTAAAGCATTTTGCGAGTCCCCCCTTTCCAGACCTGGTTCACTAAAAACTGTTTTATGCGTGGCGTAATTCGTGAGATTGTACATTTAGATCCCTGCAATCCAATGAGGGGTCATTCGTGAAAATCTGTTAGAACTTGCTTAAGTTATAGATTTTAATGTAAAATACTAAATTTTTCTGCATCCACTGTTAATGTAATTATGTGCCTTATGATGTCATCCTTGTTCTTGTACAGTAGGGGATGCATGGTCAGTTTCCCACACAGTCCACCTGATTAAAACACCTGCTGTAACAGTTAGGAAACCCCTTGCATGGGGAACCATATAAATTTGGTGACTTTTCATTAAAGCCCTGAGTTGACTCCCAGACTATGTGTCGTCTAGTCATTGGGAAAGGCGATTATACCGCGCTTCTTGACTTTTGTATGTTGAATCCTGACTGCTAGTGGAGAGATCATGCATTAACCCTTGCTACTCCGCTACAATTCCCTTTATGTATTTAAATTCAGAGGTTTCAAAACTGACATGTAAGACTTTTTCGTTTATTACTGGCCCTTTAAGTGAACTTCATGATTTTCTCCTCTAGTGGCCTCCCTAGCCACTAATCTATTCACTCACCTTAATAAAGTGTATAGAAAAACACACGTTAGTGCAAATACATGCAGACAACAGTGCAAAGGTGGAGCGCTTAAAAATAAAAATAAAAACACTCACTTACTCCTGCAACTTTCAGGAGGTAATAAAAATATTAGTGATAGGGTCCTTTAAATCGCCATATCCAACAGGAGACTTCAGAATGGAGACAAAAAAAGGAAAAATAGGGAAGCAGAGCTAACCCTAGTGCAGATATCCTTAATACAGTAGGTAATCAGGTGAACAAAATAACAATTTGCTTCTCACCTTGTCAGGAGCCTTTAACTGGGCTCCAAGTATACAAGCACAGTGTCAATTATAGAGTGACACTTCCCTTCTTGATAGCAGCATAAATATATCACTAGACAGCTTGGTAGCAGAAATAAACATTTATTACAACTTCTTTTAAAAACAAATAAAATCTGTATACTCAAGTGTCAGTGGTGTGTCCAAGACGCGTTTCGCCGATATAACGTTCGGCTTTATCAATTGGTGGACAAAATGCTGCTAAGCTGAGGTTTAAATACCCATTAGTAGGGAACTGATTGGAGGGAAACTTCCGTGGTCCATCCAATCACGGCATTGGTCCCAGTGTGAAGCCCAGCTGCTTCCGATATCGCTAATGTCGTGACGTCATCACGCATGACGTCACGTGCGCGTGACGTCACTTACGGAAGTGGGCTGCAATCGTGCACAATTGCATACAACATACAGAAAACTATAGTAGATTAAAATAAAACAATATAGCGAATATAATGAGGAAGTTTGTTCATATCAATTTATACAGCCATTCATAATGTTGGCATCATTTTGCTTGGTGAAGAGATATATTGTGTCCTCAATGTGTAGTATCTTCAATACTATTGCGGCCATCTTGCTTAAGGGCAAAAATCCATTCAGTGTCCAAGTTCAAGTCACTAATTGTCCAATATCCCAGAAATGTCCATAGATATGAATAGTTCTCCAAAATTTGAATCATGATAAGGGAAAGAATAAAAAGAATGGGTGACAAGGATTGTATATCATAATACACAACTGTTAAAAAATACATATTATAGCATAATTAAAATTGCACACAATATGGTCATCATGATGATTTCACTAAAAGACTGGTGGTTAAAAATGATATAATAAAAATAGAGTATGGTTAATATATATGTATTAATATTAAAAAAACTCCAATACAAAATATATATAAAACTAAAATGTAATTATAAAAAATGACAAATTTCGAAATCATCATTTAGTCCATATGGTTGCATTGTGTTTAAATTAAAAATCCACTTCATCTCAGTCTGGCCTATATTCCTCATTAGGTCTCCACCCCTCCAATTCATAGAAATTCTTTGGATTCCCATGAATTCCATACAGCGAGGGTCACAGTTATGTTTATCCTTAAAATGTTGGGAGACACTATGTTTCTCGAAACCGTTTTTAATATTTCTTATGTGTTCTTGGATTCGTGTATTGAGTGTCCTAATGGTTCTTCCTACATATGTGAGTTTACATGGGCACATAATTTTATATATTACCCTTGTGGAGTGGCATGTAATTAATTGTTTAATTTTAAAACTCTTATTGTCGTCTGTAGGATGATTAAATTCCCTAATTACTCTTTTTGAACTGTGTGTATTCCTACACGCTCCACACGAGCCACACCCATAAAACCCATTAGTCTCATTAAAAAAGGATGATTTATTAGTAGTCTTACTTGGTGGTAAATGATTATGTACTAGACTACTACTCAAGTTATTAACACCCCTATAGGTGATCACAGGTCTATCTGGTAACAAAGAGTGGAGAACGGGATCATTTTTAAGTATTGGCCAATATTTGTTAATTATTTTCCTGAGTTTTTTATTATTACAATTAAAATCGCAGATAAAATTCAAATTTTGATGTTGTATATCAATTTCTTTATCCTTATATATAAGTAAATCGTTTCTATTTTTCGTTTCTACCTCCTCATAGGCTTTCATCAAATGTTGTTCATTATATCCCTTTTCCTTAAAATCATTAAGTATTTTAATGGATTGTTCCTGGAATTTAGTCTTATCCGTGCAATTACGCTTAATTCTTAGTAGTTGTGCTTTAGGAGCGTTCAACAGCCAAGGGGAGAAGTGACAACTCTTCTCCCTTATATAGCTGTTGACGTCAACCTTTTTGAAAAAAGTGCAGGATTTCAGTATATTGTCCTCCACATATATATTAAGGTCCAAAAATTCGACCGAAGTTTTGCTGTAGTGACTGGTAAGTATAATGCCACGATCATTAGTATTTAAATGGGTCAAAAAGGAATTAAGGGATGCCTCATCACCCTTCCAAATAAAAAATATGTCATCTATGTAACGACGATAGGTAACGAGATTTGCATCCCATCTATGGTTATCATAGATGAACTCCTGTTCCCAATGTGACATGAACAGGTTTGCATAGCTGGGAGCAAATCTCGTACCCATCGCCGTTCCACATATTTGCAAATAAAATTGGTCTCCAAACCAAAAATAGTTGTTCATCAGGATCCACTCGATCCCTTCGATAATGAAATCAACCTGTTTGTTAGAAAATTTATCGGAATGTTCTAAAAAATGTCTGGTTGCTCTACATCCCTGGGTATGGGAGATGATCGTATACAGGGAGCTCACATCTGATGTTACAAGATAATAGTCTGGACTCCAGGTGACCTGTTGAATAATCTGTAGGATGTTAATGGTGTCTTTAAGATAACTAGGGCAGGTGTTGACTATCAATTGTAAACATTTATCAATATATTGTGACAACCTGCTTGAGATGGAACCTATCCCCGACACTATAGGCCTGCCAGGTGGTTTATCTTTATTTTTGTGGATCTTGGGGAGGTAATAGAAAACTGGGATCATGGGATGTTGTATATTCAGAAATTTATGTTCCCTAGAATTTAAAACTTCATTCATTTTACCTCTCTCGATTAGTTCCCAATATGTATTTCTAATCCCATTGGTGGGATCCTTCTCAAGGATTCTATAGGTATGTTGGTCACTTAGTAATCTACCAATTTCCTGTTTATAGTCATCCACATCCAAAATGACTATCCCCCCACCCTTATCTGCTGGTTTAATCACAATTGTTACATCTTCTTTTAATTGTTTGAGAGCTTGTCTTTCCTTAAAATTTAAATTATACACATTTGGCTTAGGTTTCTTTATTTTACTCACATCATTCATCACCATTTTTTCAAAGGTCGTCATTTCACCAGAGATGCAACACCTTGGAAAAAAGGTTGATTTTTCTTTTAAGTCAGTATGTATAGTCATGGGAGCGGATGGGATTTCTTGGGTGGCATTAATTGGGTTCTTTAGAAAGAATTTTTTAAGACAGAGTTTCCTCTTAAATCTGTTAAGATCTAGATACACGCTAAATTTGTCGATTGGTTTTGTAGGGGCAAATTTAAGTCCTTTCATCAATAATTCCCTTTGTGATGTTGTTAACTCTCGTTTAGAGAGGTTGAAAATCCCATTCTTTTTTGGGGTATTTCTCTCTTTTCCTTTTTGTATCCGTATGCCTCCTCTACTTCCCCTTCCTCTAAACTTCTTCTCCGCTTCCCTGGTGATGCCTGATATGTAGAGGTTTCTTTGTAACGTCCCCTCATGTGTCTGGGCCAAAAATCCTCATCATTTTGAGGAATAGTTAAAGGTTGAAATCTATTATGATTGGGATGTGTGGTCTCATGGTATGTATTAATGCGTGATCTATTTTCATGGGGCTTAATTGGCAGTGTATTGGGTCCAGATGTTCTATCCTGATGCCTTTTTGGTGATGGTACTCTCTTTCTTCTCACTACTGTTTCCCAATCATCCCTAATCTTTCCTGATGATCTAGATCTGTGGACTATTTCATGTGGTAACTTAGTTCTGGATCTATTTCTAGATCTTCTGTTATGTGGAGAATTATGCGTTAATGGTTGATCTCTCTTTTTGTAATGATTATTTCTGGATGGATGTTGTGTATTCCACCATGTGTTATTGGTAGATCTTTCTTGTGTTTTAGTATATGATCTTACTTGATCCCTCGCATAATCTTCCTTGTCCCTTAGATATTTTCTCTTTTTAATTTCTATTATATTTCTCTCTAATTTCTCCAAGTTTATCTGCATTGTTTCTAATAATTCAGGAAATTCTTAATTTCATTAATTTCACCATCTAATTTCTTTAAAAAATTAGTACGTCTCCTAATAATCAAATTCATCATTCCAAACGAGAAACTTTCCAAAAGATCAGTCCATTCTTGTAAAAAATCTTCCTCCTCCTGATCAAAGGAGGGACTTTTGGAAAATCTCAGGCCTCTTGGGGTTATTTTTTCTCTATTATATTTACTCAATGTAGCAATTTCCCATCGGATCTTTATTTCTTTACCCAAAAGTTTTTCTAATTTGTAGCGGGAATTGCGTACTTTGATTTTTAAATCATATTCATTATTGTCCCTTACAATCGTGGGGTTACTGAATAAAGAATCTATATCTTGTTTGATAAGAGGTCCAGATATGGACAAGATATAGATTCTTTATTCAGTAACCCCACGATTGTAAGGGACAATAATGAATATGATTTAAAAATCAAAGTACGCAATTCCCGCTACAAATTAGAAAAACTTTGGGGTAAAGAAATAAAGATCCGATGGGAAATTGCTACATTGAGTAAATATAATAGAGAAAAAATAACCCCAAGAGGCCTGAGATTTTCCAAAAGTCCCTCCTTTGATCAGGAGGAGGAAGATTTTTTACAAGAATGGACTGATCTTTTGGAAAGTTTCTCGTTTGGAATGATGAATTTGATTATTAGGAGACGTACTAATTTTTTAAAGAAATTAGATGGTGAAATTAATGAAATTAAGAATTTCCTGGTTGAGAATATGACACCAGAACATTATTCAGAATTATTAGAAACAATGCAGATAAACTTGGAGAAATTAGAGAGGAATATAATAGAAATTAAAAAGAGAAAATATCTAAGGGACAAGGAAGATTATGCGAGGGATCAAGTAAGATCATATACTAAAACACAAGAAAGATCTACCAATAACACATGGTGGAATACACAACATCCATCCAGAAATAATCATTACAAAAAGAGAGATCAACCATTAACGCATAATTCTCCACATAACAGAAGATCTAGAAATAGATCCAGAACTAAGTTACCACATGAAATAGTCCACAGATCTAGATCATCAGGAAAGATTAGGGATGATTGGGAAACAGTATTGAGAAGAAAGAGAGTACCATCACCAAAAAGGCATCAGGATAGAACATCTGGACCCAATACACTGCCAATTAAGCCCCATGAAAATAGATCACGCATTAATACATACCATGAGACCACACATCCCAATCATAATAGATTTCAACCTTTAACTATTCCTCAAAATGATGAGGATTTTTGGCCCAGACACATGAGGGGACGTTACAAAGAAACCTCTACATATCAGGCATCACCAGGGAAGCGGAGAAGAAGTTTAGAGGAAGGGGAAGTAGAGGAGGCATACGGATACAAAAAGGAAAAGAGAGAAATACCCCAAAAAAGAATGGGATTTTCAACCTCTCTAAACGAGAGTTAACAACATCACAAAGGGAATTATTGATGAAAGGACTTAAATTTGCCCCTACAAAACCAATCGACAAATTTAGCGTGTATCTAGATCTTAACAGATTTAAGAGGAAACTCTGTCTTAAAAAATTCTTTCTAGGGGCGGGGCCTGACAGCTAAGATGGCCAGACGTGTTTGTTAACTGCTCCTGAGCAACTGAGTTTAACCGAAGCCTTTACCACTTAAGTCGCCTGAAATTCAGAGTGGAGTAGATGGTGGATTGTCCCTGCAACGTGTGGGCACTCGTGGGTGTCCTGTATACTCCTCTAGACCAAGGAAATCCGCTGTCCGAACATGCGGCCTAGCGTGACTAGCAGCCTGAAGACGGGGGGAGGCGGCCGCTCCCTCAGCATAGGGCCTGCTCTGATCAATGGCCTGTCAGCTGCCCTGCAACCCCCCCCTATGGACCGGTGGGGGTCATCCCGGTCCCCGCTGGGGAAACTCACCTCTTCCACACAACGAGGCACCCTGCAGAAACAACAACCGCGTGGCATGCAAAACATGGCCGCCACTCCTCATCCTCAGCAACACCAGAGTTGTACCGCTGAGCCGCAATGGAGAGAGAGCTTTGAGGCGCGCTTTGATGCTCTGTGTGACCGGTTCTGGCGGCGCATATACCACCGACCACCCGTACCTGTCGAGACGATTAGTCTGAAGGCAGCAACGTCTCCTCGACCAAAGAAATCCACAAGCAGCCGACCCGGCACACGGAAAGCCCACCGACAAGCGGTGTACCAGCGGACCCGCTCTGACACAGTGCGGCGACGGAGCACCCATGACTGCTTGGCTGTAGAACAACCTGCACCTCGGGCACGGTGGAACAGAAACCCCTTGCACAGTAAAACTCACACAGCACTTGGGAATGTGACCCGGCTGAGGCAGCGGGACAGAGAGCAGAGAAACACCTCACACAGGAGCCGCAAAGGGGCTACCTTGGATGTCTATACATACGCCCACCAAGCGGAGCCTAATAGACCAGCAAGTCACACACAGGGCCTAAGAGTGGGAATTGGCTGACCGCTGACTAGCACAGTAACGCAGCCCCACACCGGACAACAGGACCTGCGTCACGTTCTGTGGACTCCGACTCACCGTTGTGGGACTCTCGTCACCCTACAAGAGGATGCAGCATTCACACACTCTGGACTGCCAACACAGGATACCCAATCCCGGGCTCTTGCCAGAGAACACCCAGTGAGAACTCTTCCAATAACTTGCAATGATGTTTGTTTGCAATAACTGAAGTTGTCTTTGCTTATTAGTTTTGCTCGACCGTAGCCTTATCAGTTCACTTAATCTAATGCACGATAGGCATAACCAGTTGGATATCTGAGGCTAATAATGAGTGCAAGTAAACAGAATGGAGTAAAAGTATCTAATATACCTACACTCCTGCAGACATGCTGACTCCCCTAGGGAAACAGCTGTACCCTTATAGCCGGTAGTACTCAGCAGCCTGGCAGCTTAGCATGATAACTTCCCATTGGAGGAATCTTTATACTATAATGCCTATATGAATTGCACTGTCAGCTAAGCACTCTAATGGGTATACTGTTCATATGTGCCTAAGACCTTCATAATTGTAACTAGGCACAATTTCACTGTTACGATAAGCTACCTTTTCATCTTAATTTTAATGACTTCTACCTATATGTGACTCACCCATGTATAACAGCTAGACCCAGCCTATATCAATCAGTTTATCTGTTATCGCATGGTATTCACAGCAACTTTAGCGAGGATATATTCAGTTATAACTGTTATGATAAGCTACTTTTTCATTCTCAATTTAACGTCTTCACTGTTTAGCCAAGCTGATGTTTATTATGCTTATACAAAAATGTGCAACTCCTCTTGCCACTGTTCACCCTAAGTACATTCTTACACACGCTGTTGGGGCGTATGTCATTGCTATGTATAACATGCACAACAAAAATAAAGAATTGCAAAAAAAAAAAAAAAAAAAATTCTTTCTAAAGAACCCAATTAATGCCACCCAAGAAATCCCATCCGCTCCCATGACTATACATACTGACTTAAAAGAAAAATCAACCTTTTTTCCAAGGTGTTGCATCTCTGGTGAAATGACGACCTTTGAAAAAATGGTGATGAATGATGTGAGTAAAATAAAGAAACCTAAGCCAAATGTGTATAATTTAAATTTTAAGGAAAGACAAGCTCTCAAACAATTAAAAGAAGATGTAACAATTGTGATTAAACCAGCAGATAAGGGTGGGGGGATAGTCATTTTGGATGTGGATGACTATAAACAGGAAATTGGTAGATTACTAAGTGACCAACATACCTATAGAATCCTTGAGAAGGATCCCACCAATGGGATTAGAAATACATATTGGGAACTAATCGAGAGAGGTAAAATGAATGAAGTTTTAAATTCTAGGGAACATAAATTTCTGAATATACAACATCCCATGATCCCAGTTTTCTATTACCTCCCCAAGATCCACAAAAATAAAGATAAACCACCTGGCAGGCCTATAGTGTCGGGGATAGGTTCCATCTCAAGCAGGTTGTCACAATATATTGATAAATGTTTACAATTGATAGTCAACACCTGCCCTAGTTATCTTAAAGACACCATTAACATCCTACAGATTATTCAACAGGTCACCTGGAGTCCAGACTATTATCTTGTAACATCAGATGTGAGCTCCCTGTATACGATCATCTCCCATACCCAGGGATGTAGAGCAACCAGACATTTTTTAGAACATTCCGATAAATTTTCTAACAAACAGGTTGATTTCATTATCGAAGGGATCGAGTGGATCCTGATGAACAACTATTTTTGGTTTGGAGACCAATTTTATTTGCAAATATGTGGAACGGCGATGGGTACGAGATTTGCTCCCAGCTATGCAAACCTGTTCATGTCACATTGGGAACAGGAGTTCATCTATGATAACCATAGATGGGATGCAAATCTCGTTACCTATCGTCGTTACATAGATGACATATTTTTTATTTGGAAGGGTGATGAGGCATCCCTTAATTCCTTTTTGACCCATTTAAATACTAATGATCGTGGCATTATACTTACCAGTCACTACAGCAAAACTTCGGTCGAATTTTTGGACCTTAATATATATGTGGAGGACAATATACTGAAATCCTGCACTTTTTTCAAAAAGGTTGACGTCAACAGCTATATAAGGGAGAAGAGTTGTCACTTCTCCCCTTGGCTGTTGAACGCTCCTAAAGCACAACTACTAAGAATTAAGCGTAATTGCACGGATAAGACTAAATTCCAGGAACAATCCATTAAAATACTTAATGATTTTAAGGAAAAGGGATATAATGAACAACATTTGATGAAAGCCTATGAGGAGGTAGAAACGAAAAATAGAAACGATTTACTTATATATAAGGATAAAGAAATTGATATACAACATCAAAATTTGAATTTTATCTGCGATTTTAATTGTAATAATAAAAAACTCAGGAAAATAATTAACAAATATTGGCCAATACTTAAAAATGATCCCGTTCTCCACTCTTTGTTACCAGATAGACCTGTGATCACCTATAGGGGTGTTAATAACTTGAGTAGTAGTCTAGTACATAATCATTTACCACCAAGTAAGACTACTAATAAATCATCCTTTTTTAATGAGACTAATGGGTTTTATGGGTGTGGCTCGTGTGGAGCGTGTAGGAATACACACAGTTCAAAAAGAGTAATTAGGGAATTTAATCATCCTACAGACGACAATAAGAGTTTTAAAATTAAACAATTAATTACATGCCACTCCACAAGGGTAATATATAAAATTATGTGCCCATGTAAACTCACATATGTAGGAAGAACCATTAGGACACTCAATACACGAATCCAAGAACACATAAGAAATATTAAAAATGGTTTCGAGAAACATAGTGTCTCCCAACATTTTAAGGATAAACATAACTGTGACCCTCGCTGTATGGAATTCATGGGAATCCAAAGAATTTCTATGAATTGGAGGGGTGGAGACCTAATGAGGAATATAGGCCAGACTGAGATGAAGTGGATTTTTAATTTAAACACAATGCAACCACATGGACTAAATGATGATTTCGAAATTTGTCATTTTTTATAATTACATTTTAGTTTTATATATATTTTGTATTGGAGTTTTTTTAATATTAATACATATATATTAACCATACTCTATTTTTATTATATCATTTTTAACCACCAGTCTTTTAGTGAAATCATCATGATGACCATATTGTGTGCAATTTTAATTATGCTATAATATGTATTTTTTAACTGTTGTGTATTATGATATACAATCCTTGTCACCCATTCTTTTTATTCTTTCCCTTATCATGATTCAAATTTTGGAGAACTATTCATATCTATGGACATTTCTGGGATATTGGACAATTAGTGACTTGAACTTGGACACTGAATGGATTTTTGCCCTTAAGCAAGATGGCCGCAATAGTATTGAAGATACTACACATTGAGGACACAATATATCTCTTCACCAAGCAAAATGATGCCAACATTATGAATGGCTGTATAAATTGATATGAACAAACTTCCTCATTATATTCGCTATATTGTTTTATTTTAATCTACTATAGTTTTCTGTATGTTGTATGCAATTGTGCACGATTGCAGCCCACTTCCGTAAGTGACGTCACGCGCACGTGACGTCATGCGTAATGACGTCACGACATTAGCGATATCGGAAGCAGCTGGGCTTCACACTGGGACCAATGCCGTGATTGGATGGACCACGGAAGTTTCCCTCCAATCCGTTCCCTACTAATGGGTATTTAAACCTCAGCTTAGCAGCATTTTGTCCACCAATTGATAAAGCCGAACGTTATATCGGCGAAACGCGTCTTGGACACACCACTGACACTTGAGTATACAGATTTTATTTGTTTTTAAAAGAAGTTGTAATAAATGTTTATTTCTGCTACCAAGCTGTCTAGTGATATATTTATGCTGCTATCAAGAAGGGAAGTGTCACTCTATAATTGACACTGTGCTTATATACTTGGAGCCCAGTTAAAGGCTCCTGACAAGGTGAGAAGCAAATTGTTATTTTGTTCACCTGATTACCTACTGTATTAAGGATATCTGCACTAGGGTTAGCTCTGCTTCCCTATTTTTCCTTTTTTTGTCTCCATTCTGAAGTCTCCTGTTGGATATGGCGATTTAAAGGACCCTATCACTAATATTTTTATTACCTCCTGAAAGTTGCAGGAGTAAGTGAGTGTTTTTATTTTTATTTTTAAGCGCTCCACCTTTGCACTGTTGTCTGCATGTATTTGCACTAACGTGTGTTTTTCTATACACTTGATTATAAGTAGGTTGAAGAGTTCCTATTTTTGGTGTGTAAGCTGCTATTTATTGTATTGTGTATTATATAATATTGACATTGTTTAAGCGCCTTTGTCACAGCACATCTATTTTTTACTCACCTTAATAACCTCACCTGGATTAACTAATTAGGAGGCTTGATAAATCTACTCCTAGCACACAATAGTGCCTTGACATTGAAGTCTATTCTCTGATAAATAATCTCTGTTCCTGGTAATAGCCTGTATTTTGTCTACATTATTTCATTCTGTAGAGAACTTACCTGCAGTGCCTCATCCTGTACTCCTCTGCATTTCCTCATACTGAAAGGCACTAACCTGCAGTACTTCATCCTGAACTTGCCTGAATTACATCTTACCGAAAGACTTTCCTTATCGGCTTCCAAGAATCCTGATTTGTGGCGTATTGCCGTCATTGAAGAATCTTAACTGCTTCAATTGCTGCATCACTGCATCACTGCATGATCTCGTAAGCAACCTGCATTATATTATTTTGGAATATACCTTCCTGTTTCAACCTCTGCAACTCTGCATGATCCTTTATTGCCTTATCCTAAAAGGTATTTACCTATAACTAGCTGCATTGCAAAGTATCCTGGAAATCCTTAACTTCTTGGTATAATTTCAAGCCTGCTTGTATACAAAATACGTTATTCATTTACTTTCTAAAGATCTTCTTTGTGGCATATCGCCTAAACTCTGTTTTTTTTCTCACAGAGTATCCTGTTTGTGGCAGACTGCCCTTTATTCTTTATTTTCAGTAAATTTATTATGTCTAATACGACAAAGTTTTAACCAATAACCCTTGCAATCGTCTCCTTTCTGACTTGCTCAGGAGCATGACACCTCTGTTGCCTGTCACTCAGCCACTGCCTTACCCATTCAACAATATTGGAATCCAAACTTAAAGATTGCAGTTTATTGATAAGCCTTCTATGTGCAACAGTGTCAAAAGCCTTACTGAAATCTAGGTAAGCAATGTCTACTGCACCACCCTGATCTATAATTTTAGTTACCCAATCAAAAAAATCAATAAGATTAGTTTGGCATGATCTCCCTGAAGTAAACCCATGTTGTCTCTGATCTTGAAATCCATGTGTTTTTAGATGTTCATCAATCCTATCCTTTAACATGGTTTCCATCACTTTCCCCACTACTGAAGTAAGGCTTACTGGCCTATAGTTGCCCGACTCCTCCCTATTACCTTTCTTGTAAATGGGCACAACATTCGCTAACTTCCAATCTTCTGGGACTACTCCTGTTAACAATGATTGGTTAAATAAATCTGTTAATGGTTTTGCTAGTACACCACTAAGCTCTTTCAATAACTTTGGGTGTATTCCATCAGGTCCCATTGACTTATTTGTCTTTACTTTTGACAGTTGAAATAGAACCTCTTCCTCTGTAAACTCAAGTGTAATAAATGACTTATTTGTCCTTTTTCCTAACTGAGGTCCCTTTCCTTCATTTTCCTCTGTAAATACTGACATTTAGCATCTAGACCGGTTAAAGGGATACTATAGTCACCTGAACTTTAGCTTAATTAGGCAGTTTTGGTGTATAGAACATGCCCCTATAGCCTTACTGCTCAATCCTCTGCCATTTAGTAGTTAAATCCCTTTGTTTATGAACCCTAGTCACACCTCCCTGCATGTGACTTGCACAGCCTTCCATAAACACTTCCTGTAAAGAGAGCCCTATTTAGGCTTTCTTTATTGCAAGTTCTGTTTAATTAAGATTTTCTTATCCCCTGCTATGTTAATAGCTTGCTAGACCCTGCAAGAGCCTCCTGTATGTGATTAAAGTTCAGTTTAGAGATTGAGATCCAATTATTTAAGGTAAATTACATCTGTTTGAAAGTGAAACCAGTTTTTTTTTTTCATGCAGGCTCTGTCAATCATAGCCGGGGGAGGTGTGGCTAGGGCTGCATAAACAGAAACAAAGTGATTTAACTCTTAAATGACAGTGAATTGAGCAGTGAAATTGCAGGGGAATGATCTATACACTAAAACTGCTTTTATTTAGGTGACTATAGTGTTCCTTTAACTCTCAACCATATACCCCTCCTCCCCCCAACACCTGGAGTTATACAGGTGAGGAGTGCGCTTCACCTGTAGTTTTGAGGTGGCCCACATGGGGTACTTACACTGGCAAGCAACATACACACTCCACAAGCTTACATTAGCTGACCACGAGCACTATTGCTTTTTCCGTAATACTGAATCACCAAAACGTAGGCTTCTAAAAATCTGTGTTTCGCATCATTTACACACAACACTCTGTTCCAAATTATTATGCAAATTCTATTTAAGTGTCACAAAGATTCAATTTTTAGTTTTTCAGTTTAACTCATGGATGGTATTGTGTCTCAGGGCTCTTTTGATCACTGAAAACAATCTCGGACACCTGTGATAATTAGATTGCCAGGTGAGCCCAATTTAAGGAAAAACTACTAAAGGAGGGTGTTCCACATTATTAAGCAGAGCACCATTTTCATGCAATATGGGGAAGAAAAAGGATTTCTCTGCTGCCGAAAAGAGTGAAATAGTTCAATGTCTTGGACGAGGTATGAAAACATTCAATATTTCACAAAAACTTAAGCGTGATCATCGCACTATTAAGAGATTTGTGGCTGATTCAGAGCACAGACGGGTTCATGCAGATAAAGGCACATTTCTGCCAGATCCATGCATCGGATCAAGAGAGCAGCTGCTAAAATACCATTACATAGCAGCAAACAGATATTTCAAGCTGCTGGTGCCTCTGGAGTCCCACGGACATCAAGGTGTAGAGTCCTAAAGAGTCTTGCAACTGTGCATAAACCTTCTATTCGGCCACCACTAACCAATGCTCACAAGCAGAAACTGCTGCATTGGGCAGAAAAATACATGAAGACTAATTTTCAAACAGTCCTGTTCACTGATGAGTGCCGTGCAACCGTGGATGATCCAGATGGATGGAGTAATGTATGGTTGGTGGACGGCCACCCTGTTCCAACAAGGCTGCGATGTCAGCGAGGCGGTGGTGGAGTCATGATTTGGCCTGGAATCATGGGAAGAGAGGTGGTCAGCCACTTTAGGGTCCCCAAAGGTGTAAAGATGACCTTTGCAAAGTATGTGGAGTTTCTGACTGACCACTTTCTTCCCTGGTACAGAAGGAAGAACTATGCTTTCCGTAATAAAATCATCTTCATGCATGACAATGCACAATCTCATGCTGCAAAGAATACCTCTGCATCAATGGCTGCTATGGGGATAAAAGGAGAGAACGGCCTCCATCGACCCCTGACCTCAATCATGGTTTAACCATGTGTCAGATGACCAGCGCTAGCTAACCAACTGCCACATTTGAAAAGCTGCCAATAAATTCATTAAATGCATCAGGTGAGATTTATCTACTAAATTAGAAGTTGGCAAATGAGCAGCTTGGAAGAGCTCACCCCAAGGAATATTCCTACAGCAAGTCTTGAGAGAAGAGCTCAGATTGGTTTGCTCAGCACGGAGCCCTGGGATGGAGCCGTTCTAGTGACCGGGAAGCAGTTGCCTGGTGGCAGCTGGGATCATATTACTAATACGGGCTCACACTGAACTCTCCATAGGTGTTTTTTTGACATTTGAATATAGAGGCTGGTGACCAAGCACTGGCCAGCTGCTACATTTAACCTTCACACTGTTTTTTTTTTTTTTTTAATGATTTGCCTGCCAGCTGCTAGCACTGCCACGGGGCTAATAGTACTTCAATCATTATTTATATAGTGCACACATATTTTGCAGCGCTGTACAATAATAAACAAGACAAACATTAAATTCTAACAAAACAAGTTTGAGCAGTAGGTAAAGAGGGCCCTGGGCAGACAAGCTCACAATCTAAATTTGGCCTTGTGGCAAACCTAGCCACTTGGACTATAACCAGAGACTGTACCTTTAAGGGTTGCCTGTATGTCTGGGGAGATATGTGTTTAACTACGTGTATTGTATGCTGACTGTAATGTATTGAATTGCCTGTATTTGCTATCTGCCGAATGCAGATAGCTGTTTGTATGGGGTTTTCATTTCGTTTCACGAACGGCACTTTGGAGGGCCGTTCGTGAACCGAAAACACTACCCCTAATAGCCCACACACTTAACAATGTTGCAATCGGTAATTAGAGGCTCTCCTGGGTGGCCGTCGTTCGACTACCGACCATGCCGCGGTCGGCCATCTTGGATCCTTTGTTCCCTCAGCGGTGCTAGGTCGTCGAGCGCATGGTACTAAAAACGGCTACTCGACGGCATGAACACCGCTGAGCTTCCAGGACGTTCGGGAGTTCCAGGCCGTTCTGTATTTTATTCCCTGGAAGGCAATAGTTTCTTTTAATATGTTTTACAATAAAGGTGTTTTTCGTGCGGCGTTCGGTTATTTTAGCTGGGATCTGAGCGGTAATCTCATGAATGATGCGCTCAGACCCCAGTTATCTACCGAACGTCCATTCGTTTAAATAGACCGCATATTCATAAAGTTATACATTTTTATACGAATTGTAAGTTCTGCTGCACGGAGGGATAATCCACTTAACGGTATATTCCAGTGGGAGGATCCCTCTCGTGCAGCAGTGCCTGATGGGAGAGGTGCCTTGTATTGTAAGTCCCCCATGTAGTCCCCTCTGGGAATGCCCCTGGGAAGGGACTCGGGAAACCCCTTGCATGGGGACTTGTATAAATTGTGCAGCAGAATTAAAGGACTTTAGTTGACTCTCAGAACTGTGTCTCGTCCGGTTACTGGGAGGTTGGGGAGATTGCCTTGTTGTTCTAGCGCTTGACTACCTGAACCAGCGGAATTCGTGGATTTAATATTGGCGTTCCGCTACAATTGGTGGCAAGCGACGGGATCCAACTCTACAGCCGAATACAGCGCATTCGAATGAAAGGAACAACCGAACGGAAAAAGGGAAAGGCAATTCGTATGCAACAAACAGACGAAAGCGATCAGTGAATGGGGACGGATTACACGGCATTAAAGAGGCAGACGCTAAAGGAACTGCTGGAGGCTAGAGGGAAAAACGCTAGCAACAAATCCAAAGCAGTACTAATTGCGGAGCTGATGGAAGGCGACCAAGCACACAGCAGTCCACCCCCACCTGCCAGGGAGGAAACACCATACCAGAGGGAACTGAGAACCCGGTTGGAATTTGTACCTCAGCCAGTACCCTGGACATCTTGACCGTACTGATGGCAGACGTCCAGGACTACATTATGGCACAGCAGCCCCAGGGGGCACCCTCCAGGGCAGAATCCATCGCCAACTCATTCTGCGCTCCAGTAAAGCAGAAAATACCTTACCAGGCATTTAAAGCGTTCTGCGAGGAGAAGGATGAGATCAACGGATACCTGCAGGATTTTGAGCGGTTATGCGACTTACACGATCTGGAGCAGGCAATGTGGGTACCCCTACTAGCAGGCAAGTTGGCAGGACGAGCGGCAGAGGCTTATCGCGCTGTGCCCAGAGAGGACAGCAAGGACTATTTTAAAGTCAAAAGGGCAATTCTAGAGAGGTATGCCATAACCCCAGAGGCATACCGGCGTAGATTTTGGGGATTGATGAAGCCAGAGAAAGATTCCCACGGTGAGTGGGCACATAAGCTGGACCAAGCTTCACAAGGGTGGATTCAGGCAAGCCAAGCCACCACCATGGAGGGACTGCGCCAACTCATCCTGCTGGAGCAGTTCTTTAACGGCCTGTCACCAGAGGCACAAGAGTGGGTAAGGGACAGAAAACCCCTCACCCTCACAGAAGCCGCCCGATTGGCAGATCAACACTACGATGTCAGGATGCATCATGGGCTCACCAACAGGGGTCCCCTGAGACCACCAGTACAACATCACCCGACCATCTCCACACCTACCAACTCTGTCCCATTCCGGCCAGCACCAGGGAACCCCCCACCACCATCCCGCTACAATGGCCGAGCTAACATACAATGCCATACCTGCCGGCAGTGGGGGCATATGTCTCGGGAGTGCACCCAGAATCGGAGTAGGCAAGCGTGGAACCAGGTACGGCAAAACTCCACCCCAAGGGCAGCAGCTCATTACTACCACACGGAACCTGACCACTCTGAGCTGGCAAGTCTGCAAACTGAGGAACCGTTGGGAGTTTTATATGAAGTAATGTCTGTACAAGCCACGGACAACAGGCAGCATCACTGCCAAGTTGTGGGGGGAAAGAAGTACAGGGGCTGAGGGACTCGGGAGCCACTTTGACCCTGGTTGCTCCACATTTAGTTCCAGATGCGGCCCACACTGGCGGATCGGTGGCGGTCCGGGTAGCAGAGGGAGCCATGTACCGGTTACCCACTGCCAAGGTGCATTTGAACTGGGGTGCTGGGGAGGGGGTTGTAGAAGTGGCAATAATGAAGAAGTTACCGGCAGATGTTGTGTTGGGGAATGACTTGGGCCAGATGACTTCAGCTTTCCTACCACAGGCCCCTTTACAAGAAGCTTACCCGGTAACTACACGGCAACAGGCTTGCACCACGGCACCACCAGCACACTCTGAGGCTCAGGTAAGAAACCATGACCCCCCCTTGACGCATATGACTTGGGACACCCCGACCACTTTTGAAGCAGAGGTTCAGACAGATCCCACACTGCAGGTGTACCGAGATAGAGTAGACACGGACCAGGTGGGGCGGGAGGGGGAACGGTACATTTGGGAAAACAAGTTACTGTACCGGGTGGCGGAAAGGGCAATAGGAAACTCTGTGACTCTCCAAACTAAGCAGCTGGTAGTACCCCAGAAGTATAGGCATGAGTTACTAAGAATAGCCCATTACATCCCTCTGTCCGGCCATTTAGGGATGACCCGGACCCGGTATCGCTTAACTCACGCTTTCTTTTGGCCCGGGATTTCTAAAGATGTAAGACATTATTGTACCTCCTGTGATGTGTGTCAGCGGGTAGGCAAGAGAGGGGATCGCCACAAGGCGAAACTGTGTCCCCTACCTATAATTGAGGAACCGTTCAGCCGTGTGGCTGTAGATATAGTGGGGCCACTACCAAAACCCAGCCCTTCTGGGAAGCGGTATATACTGACCGTGGTGGACTACGCCACCCGGTACCCCGAGGCGATTGCCTTAACCAATATTCACGCTGAGACCGTGGCCGAAGCCCTGATGAAAATATTTTCACGAGTTGGGTTCCCGCACGAAATTGTCTCCGATAGGGGGACACAATTTACGGCCGAGGTTACTCAGCAGTTATGGAAGATATGTGGCATTAAGCCAATCATTAACTCAGCCTACCACCCTCAATCTAACGGATTGTGTGAGAGGTTCAACGGTACCCTAAAACAGATGCTCCGTACATTCGGAGAGACCCATAAGGACTGGGAACGATTCCTTCCCCATCTGTTGTTTGCCTACAGAGAGGTACCCCAAGAGTCTACCGGTTTCTCCCCATTTGAACTGTTATTTGGGAGAAAGGTCCGGGGACCGTTGGATCTCATTAGAGAGCATTGGGAGGGAGAGAGTAGCGCAGATGGGACCCCTATTGTACCATATGTGTTGGCGTTCCGGGATCGCCTGGAGGAATTAACCCAGGCAGTGCGCACCAACCTCCAGTCCGCCCAGCAACGACAGCGTCGTTGGTATGACAGAGGGGCCAGAGACCGTAGTTTTCAAGTGGGACAGAAGGTGTTAATCCTCAAACCTGTCCGCACAGACAAACTACAGGCCGTCTGGCAGGGCCCATACCAGGTGGTAGAGCAGAGATGCGACACCACCTATGTGATCGGCCCATGCTCCGGAGTAGGGAAGCGACGCATGCTCCATGTGAACATGCTCAAACCCTACCACGAGCGAACGGAGGACGTGGCAGCTATTTGCACGCCAGCCTCAGAAGATCAGGAGAACTTACCTCTTCCAGATCTGTTAGAGCCGGTGGAGCAGAAGGAGCCCTCCCAGGGGGTTCAGCTGGGGGAGCGGCTAAGTCCTCAAGAGCGTACCCAGGTACAAGAACTGATAGCGACAAAGGGTGCCACCTTTTCTAACTTACCTGGGTACACTCCACTAGCCACTCACCGAGTAGAAACCCCGGGACAGCTTCCCATGCGACAAACCCCATATCGGATTCCTGAATCCGTGCGGGAACATATGAGGAAGGAGATTGAAGAGATGTTGCAGTTGGGGGTTATCGAACACTCCGATAGCCCCTGGGCATCGCCGGTAGTCCTGGTCCCCAAGAAAGACGGTACCACCCGGTTCTGTGTGGACTACCGGAGGTTGAACGACAAAACCGTGTCGGACGCTTACCCGATGCCCCGGATAGACGAACTGCTAGATAGGATGGCCAGAGGCCAGTATCTCACGACAATAGATCTTTGTAAGGGATACTGGCAAATTCCACTAGCCGAGGACGCCATCCCCAAGTCGGCGTTTGTCACCCCGTTTGGCTTGTACCAATTTCGAGTCATGCCATTCGGGATGAAGAACGCCCCCGCAACATTTCAGCGGATGGTGGATCGGCTACTGGACGGGTTCCAGGATTATGCGTGTGCATACCTGGATGATATTGCCATCTACAGCCAGACCTGGTCGGATCACCTACAACATATAGGGACTGTAATAGATCGGATCAGGGAGGCAGGGCTTACCTTGAAGCCCAGCAAGTGCCACATAGGGATGGCGGAGGGTAGGTAGCGGGCAACAGAAGCCTGAGCCCGCAAAGATTGAAGCCGTAGCCCAGTGGCCTACCCCTAGGACCAAAACCCAAGTCCTTGCCTTTTTAGGTACCGCCGGGTATTATAGAAAATTTTTGCCCAACTACAGTGCCCTGGCCAAACCCCTGACTGACTTGACAAAGAAGAACCTGCCCAGGCAGGTCATCTGGGCCCCAGAGTGTGAACAGGCATTCAACCAACTGAAGACGGCTCTGACCAATGCCCCTGTACTGGCTGCTCCTGATCCAACTAAACGTTTTCTTGTCCACACAGACGCCTCAATGTTTGGATTGGGAGCAGTACTAAGCCAGGTCGGAGCAAATGGCGGAGAACATCCCGTAGCATATTTGAGCCGGAAATTGTTACCCCGAGAAGTGAGCTACGCCGCCATAGAAAAAGAATGCCTGGCCGTGGTGTGGGCCCTGAAAAAGTTACAGCCATATCTCTATGGGCAACCCTTTTCCTTGCTCACAGATCACAACCCGTTGGTGTGGCTAAACTGTGTGGCTGGAGACAATGCCAGGCTGCTGCGCTGGAGCTTGGCGCTGCAGCCTTTTGACTTTACCATCCATTATCGCCCCGGGAAACAAAACGGTAACGCCGACGGGTTATCCAGACAAACAGACCTTGAGAAGTGATCTGTGAGCCCTCCCCCGGACATCCCCAAGCCGATCCGTTGGGATCAGACTGTGTATGCCGGCTTGGTTCTGGGGGAGCATTGTGGCAAACCTAGCCACTTGGACTATAACCAGAGACTGTACCTTTAAGGGTTGCCTGTATGTCTGGGGAGATATGTGTTTAACTACGTGTATTGTATGCTGACTGTAATGTATTGAATTGCCTGTATTTGCTATCTGCCGAATGCAGATAGCTGTTTGTATGGGGTTTTCCTTTCGTTTCACGAACGGCACTTTGGAGGGCCGTTCGTGAACCGAAAACACTACCCCTAATAGCCCACACACAGGCGCTGGTTAACCGATTGCAACAATGTTGCAATCGGTAATTAGAGGCTCTCCTGGGTGGCCGTCGTTCGACTACCGACCATGCGGCGGTCGGCCATCTTGGATCCTTTGTTCCCTCAGCGGTGCTAGGTCGTCGAGCGCATGGTACTAAAAACGGCTACTCGACGGCACGAACACCGCTGAGCCTCCAGGACGTTCGGGAGTTCCAGGCCGTTCGGTATTTTATTCCCTGGAAGGCAATCGGTTCTTTTAATATGTTTTACAATAAAGGTGTTTTTCGTGCGGCGTTCGGTTATTTTAGCTGGGATCTGAGCGGTAATCTCACGAATGATGCGCTCAGACCCCAGTTATCTACCGAACGTCCATTCGTTTAAATAGACCGCATATTCATAAAGTTATAAATTTTTATACGAATTGTAAGTTCTGCTGCACGGAGGGATAATCCACTTAATGGTATATTCCAGTGGGAGGATCCCTCTCGTGCAGCAGTGCCTGATGGGAGAGGTGCCTTGTATTGTAAGTCCCCCATGTAGTCCCCTCTGGGAATGCCCCTGGGAAGGGACTCAGGAAACCCCTTGCATGGGGACTTGTATAAATTGTGCAGCAGAATTAAAGGACTTCAGTTGACTCTCAGAACTGTGTCTCGTCTGGTTACTGGGAGGTTGGGGATATTGCCTTGTTGTTCTAGCGCTTGACTGTGGATTGAACCAGCGGAATTCGTGGATTTAATATTGGCGTTCCGCTACAGGCCTTAAGTTTATTGGGAATTATTGTTCACTTGCAAAAAACAAGTGAGCGATAACTTGTGAACCTAAATCATGCCGCATGCATTCGGATCTAAACTTTTTTTAAAGTTGGTTTTATGAAGATTCTAAATCCTCAATTTTTTATAGGGCTTGGATGTGAAAAGCACTGATTTAATATGAACAACAGCACAGATTGTGGTAGATTTGGTCGGGTTGGCCAAGTTCCAACTGGCTTTGGCTTTAGTAAGTGAAGTATTGAGAATTGTCATTGCTATTGCAGTCAGAACATGGTCATTTCCACCGCATTTTGTCCATCCGAGCAAAATCTTGTGTTTAGTGAATTACCCCGTGTAATAAGTGGGGGACTGATTAACAGCTAAACTGTATGCCAATGAAGTGTTATTGTGTTCTAATACAGGGATTCAAGCCCCATTCTACCCTTAGGCAATAATGAAGTCGTCTGTGAAGCACATGGCCTTTCACCAGGCAAAACCAGTGCAATCGCTCTTACCCCAGGAGTCACTCTGGATCTGTTAGATCAAACATGTCCAAGTCCGTCCCCAATTGGAAAAGGAAATAAAAAGGTTAGCGCTAATAATAAAATGTATAAAAGGCAGCGGCATATCAGAGGGTCACCCTCTAACCCTCTACAAAGAGAATATACAAGTAAAAACAAAGGACGGCTGAGCCAAAGGAAGTAGATAAATGTACACAAATAAAATTATATATGATTTAAAAAAAAAATTAAAAATGTAATATAAATAAAAAGTCCCAATATCTATCTTTTAGAGGTTGTTTCAACTGGTGTAATGTCTTCTCTGTTGGAAGTAGTCCGTCTCACAATATGAAAGACACAATGGGAAAAGACCAATCGTGCAGAGTGTATAAATAAATATCCGTGAAATTAAAATATAAACTCCACACTCACATTTCCATGAGCTAAGACCAGCTCAAGTGTAACGGGCATACAGCAGATAACCCTCCGCTTGTAGGGGTGCTTGTCCTCCTGGAGAGTGCTGGTGTCCGATTCTCAAAGGAAAATAGATAAAAACAGCCAATAGTTTATTACTCTGGTGACGTAATATAAAAATACATAGAAATAATATAAAATGTACTCACAAGTGGAGTGCAGGCCTTTCTGCACTCTGATGATAGCGTGGGTGGTATAATCCCCACCTTAGGATATGTAGAATGCCAGGAAAGATAAGTAGAAATAAAATTGTATAGAGAAGTAATAATATGAAATAATTTATTAATGATACAATATATTAAAACCAATAATGCGTTTCGCCACAATGGCTTTATCAAATTGGAATAATATTAATAAACTGGCACATAAGGAGTATATATAGCTAGTTCAGTAATTCGAAATTGGCGCCAAAAAAACGTCTGCCAATCAGGGCTGTTCAAAGTATAAATTGAATATACACTGTACAAAAGATAAAAATGATATATTACATAGATGGTTTGAAATATACAGATGTATGTGTGTTAATATACATTAAAAACAAAGATGGCATAATAGGGTATAAAAAGAATTAAAAGAAATAGATTGGGCGCGTCACGTGACCCGCAATGCACCTGTGGAGCTGTAGTGCACGGGTCACGTGACCGCCCACTACACTTCCACTTGAAGTAGGTCCGCGCGGCCGTCCCATGGAGAAGGCGGCACGCACGGACGGCAGGCTACGTCACGTGACCCGCGGCATCACAGCAAAGTACTATCCGCGGGTCACGTGACCGGAGCCACAGGCATTATGGGAAATGTAGTTTAAAAACGAACGAGCATTAGGAATATAGCACAATGCAAATAGAATATATTTTAAAAAGACAGCCTTGGGGAGGGGGTTGATAATAAATGGAATATATATAGTATAATTAAAATATATAAGAAATATATAAAAAATGTGAATATTAGAGAAATACCCACAATGAATAAATAAATCGAACTTACACACATATATATATTCTAAAAATAGAAAATTATAAACAGAAGTGGGTAAAATAAAATCACAAAGGTATATTTTGATATATCTGTACATCATAAAAATACAGTCATGTTAAGGGCATTACTAATCATAGTGCCCATAGCTAGACGGCAGGAGGAAGACAAATAGATAAAATTTAAAAATTAGAAAAAGAAAATATAATAAAAGCTCTATAAAAGAAAACAATTTTTTTTTAAATAATTAAAATTATAGAAAATTGAATAAATCTAAATCTACATTTAAACCTTGGGGCGTTAGAGTTTGTAAGTTAAATACCCATTCCAACTCTGATCTTCCAAGAATATTTTTTATATTACCACCTCTCCAAGGGATTTGACATTTCTGAATTCCTATACATTTAAGAAATTTAGGATCTTAAATATGATTAATAAAGTGCTTCGATACGCAGTGATTCTAGTATCCATTTTTTATGTTCCTACAATGTTCTGCTAATCTTATCTTTAGGCACCTAGTAGGCCACAAGGGCATTCCAATAGGTAGATAACATTGGTGGTATTACATCCAATAAAATCTCCTATGGTATAACTCCTATTGGTTTGATTAGATTTAAAATTAGTAACTTTTGATTTAGTAGTTAAATCAGTATTTTTACATACAGTACAACGTTTACATTTATAAAAACCTTTAGCCCCATCTAAAAAAGTGTGGTGGGTGTTTTTGGTTTCCTTAGTGTAGTTATTAGTTAAAATGGATCTAAAATCTGGTGCACATCTAAAAACAATTTTAGGCTGTATTGGTAAAATCTCTTTAAGTAGATCATCTTGTCTTAAAAGATGCCAATGTTTTTTAATTGTTTTTTAATAAAACCACTTTTGTTATTATAATTAAAAATGATAGGAAGGGTGGGGGCTTCTGAAGTATTTTTATCCTTATATGTTAAGAGACTTTCTCTAGTTTATTTCTGACTATATCTATAGTATTATCCAAAAGTGTACGGGAATAGTTTTTTTCAATAAATTGTTTTTTTAAAACCAATGATTGTTCGTTAAAATCGTCTATATGAGAACAATTGTGACGTATTCGTAAAAATTGGCTTTTGGGAGCGCTTTCAAGCCATGGCTTGTAGTGGCAACTGGTTTGGTCAATTGCAGTATTGGAGCAAACTTTCTTTTAAAAAAAGGTTTTGGTATGTATTTTGCCGTCTTTAATAAAAATATTTAAATCTAAAAAGTTAATTGAATTTTTGCTTTATTCACAGGTTAAAATAATTCCTCTATTGTTAGAGTTGAGGTGTGATATAAAGGAGTTAAGAGAATTTTCAGAACCCTTCCATATAAAAATCAAATCATCGATATATCTAAAATATGAGACCAGGTTATGCTCCAGGCATGCCGTCCCCAAATGGCGCTCGATTCCCAGTCCGCCATAAAGAGGTTGGCATAGCTAGGGGCAAACCTGGTCCCTATAGCAGTCCCTCTTTTTTTGGAGGTAAAAGGAGTCAAAAAACCAGAAATAATTATTATTTAAAATAATATTAATACCTTCCACAATAAAATCAATTTGGGCTACTGGAATTTTATTTTCGTTAGATAAAATAGTTCTAACTGCATTATATCCAAGTTGATGAGGGATAATGGTATATAGAGATGTAACATCGCATGTGACAAGTATAAAATCTGTCTTCCAGTCAAATCTCAGAAGTGACATGGAGTCCTTCAAATAGGACTTCATTAATTTGACTGACGGTTGGAGTAGAGTGTCAATGTACTGAGATAAGTTGCAGAACGGAGAGTTTATCCCAGATACTATAGGATTCTTAATGAATAAATAATTGAATTCTTGTTTATTCAAAATATTATCATTTAGACCTTTTTGTAAAAACGTAGTAAATTTTTGCTGTATACTAGAGGTAGGATCTTTGGTTAGTTTTTCGTATACATCGATATCATTTAATTGTTTTTCTCTGAGACCGTCTGTGCGTGCCGCCCTCTCCATGGGACGGCCGCGCAGACCTACCTCAAGTGGAAGTGTAGTGACGCACTCAAACTATTTCTTTTTATTTCTTTTTATACCCTATTATGCCATCTTCGTTTTTAATGTATATTAACACACATACATCTGTATATTTCAAACCATCTATCTAATATATAATTTTTATGTTTTGTACACTGTATATTCAATTTATACTTTGAACAGCCCTGATTGGCAGACTTTTTTGGCGCCAATTTCGAATTACTGAACTAGCTATATATACTCCTTATGTGCCAGGTTTTTAATATCATTCCAATTTGATAAAGCCATTGTGGCGAAACGCATTATTGGTTTTAATATATTGTATCATTAATAAATTATTTCATATTATTACTTCTCTATACAATTTTATTTCTACTTATCTTTCCTGGCATTCTACATATCCTAAGGTGGGGATTATACCACCCACGCTATCATCAGAGTGCAGACTGGCCTGCACTCCACTTGTGAGTACATTTTATTTTATTTCTATTTATTTTTATATTACGTCACCAGAGAGCTCTATTGGCTGTTTTTATCTCTTTTCCTTTGAGAATCGGACACCAGCACTCTCCAGGAGGACAAGCACCCCTACAAGCGGAGGGTTATCTACTGTGTGCCCGTTACACTTGAGCTGGTCTTAGCTCATGGAAATGTGAGTGTGGAGTTTATATTTTAATTTCACGGATATTTATTTATACACTCTGCACGATTGGTCTTTTCCCATTGTGTCTTTCATATCGTGAGACGGACTACTTCCAACAGAGAAGACATTACACCAGTTGAAACAACCTCTAAAAGATAGATATTGGGACTTTTTATTTATATTATATTTTTTTAAATCATATATAATTTTATTTGCGTAAATGTATCTATTTCCTTTGGCGCAGCCTTCCTTTGTTTTTACTTGTACGTCCCCAATTGCAGCCTGCGTTCCAGTTTAATACGGCCCCACAGGTAGTTTGGCTAATCTACCTGTTGTGGCCCTCAGTGAATCCCCGAGTGCCACTCAGGACACCTGGGATCTCTGGATCTTTGAACACTGCGGTCTTGCACTGGGGGGCAAAGATATCGCGAGAACACAGATGGACATGCAGTGACCTGAGTCTGCATTCTCGCGATCTCTTGGACGTCGCGGGATCTCGTGGACGTCATGGGATTCGCAGGATTTGATTCCTTCTCCCTGCTTGGACAGGAAAACAGAGAATCGACAGAATAAAAAAGGTACAGAATAAATAGGAGCAGAATAAATAGAGGCAGCATACAGAGGGGCATAATAAAGAGGGGCAGAAGGACAAAATAAAGAAGAGACAGAATAAAGATGGACTGAATAAAGAGAGAAGGGACAGAATAAAGAGAGAAGGGACAGAATAAAGAGGGATAGAAGGACAGAATAAAGAGAGAATAAAGCCACCGGATAGTAGCTCTATGGGTACCCCCCACACGGCTGAAGACTCAGAGTCGGACTCCTCCAGGAGAGAGAAGGTCAAGAGCACCTAAGCGCAATTGGAAGGGTGAAGGACCTGAGTTACACTCCCAGAAAGGGCAAGGCTCCTGTGAAGTGCGCGAGTCAGGTGGTCTCAGACTCGCCTCTCCGACAGGGAGGAGAGATGGCTGTCAGACGGGGAGGAGGACTTCTTACCTCCCCCACCCTATGCTTGCTAGATGAATGGCGGGCAGACCAGTTGCCCTTGGAAAATGAGGACAGTTGGGGCAAGTACGAGTTTGACAACTCCATTTGGCCCAGAGACTCTGAGGTCCCTCCTACACAAACAGCGTCCACCTCTCAGTTGGATGAGGATTTGTTCCTGGACGTTACGGGCGATCCTCTCTTCGACCCACGTACCATCAGGCACCCCATATCCTTTGAATGGTCCTTGCTGTATAATCTTAATTTTATTAATGATAGGAGGCAAATATTTCCCTCCCAGTTTTTTTCTGCCTGTGATAATTAAGTTAGTACATTGTGTTTAGTGTGACGAGACCAATCTCGCCACATTGCATTGGAGAAGCCTGGTTGCTCGCCTGCTGCCTCTGGACTATGGCCCCCTGTTAAAAGACTTTGTTTCACCTGCAGAAAAGCTGTATTCGTGCTTTTCTGCCGGTTGTCCGCACGAATGAATAGACCACCTGGGAGCTGGAGTGTGCCTGCAATTAACCTCCCTGAAGCTGCGGTTATCCGCAGCTTAATTGACGAATGCTGGGTGGCCGCCATTCGTATCCCGAACACGAGGTCGCAGCCATTTTAAACATACAAATGCACAGCGGTGTTCGTCTCTATTTTCATGGTACTAAAATCGGACACAGTTTTGCGCGAACACCACTGAAGCCGCCAACCTCCCTTCTTGTTCGGTGGAAGGGCACGAACGGCGGTTTTGTTTGAATGTGTTATACCCCAGATAGGAATCCCATGGAGCCCATTCGTATAAAACTGACTGTAAAGACTTTGGCTCCATGGCGATTAAACTGTATTTGTGTGGTCTGAGCGCCATTCACTTAATAATGTGCGCTCAGACCTGAGCTATCTGGGGATATATTAAATGTATAGTTTTAATGTAATGTGTCTTACCTGGTGTATTTTAACAGTAATGCTTGTTTTAGTATCCCCATGTGCATAATGGAGATTTGCCTTTGTCTTGGGAGATAATTGAATTACTTCTCAATTATCTCCCAGGGCAGAGGGGATGGAAGCCAGGATGCATTGTGGGAATATACTGTGACTGTGTGTCCTATTTGTCTGCTTGTCTGTCCCTTGTCACAGTCTCCCATTTGGTCCCCTAGGGGAGTGTCCACCAGGTGGGAGACCTGCATAAATACTGGGCAGGTAGCCCTCATTAAACAGACCACTGCTTGACCCTCAACACGGAGCCTTGTCTCGTTCTTGGGGGGATTCACTGTATGCTGTTAGAGACTGATTGCCAGGAGTGTAAGCTGATTGTCTGATTTTCCTGTTCGTCTGCTAGCAGCTATTTGGGAGGTTCCAGTTCATGAGTTGGAGTGCTATTTTGTATCTAGTTCAGGAGTTTGGTGTTCTGCAGTAGCTGTGCCTGTATCTCTGGAAAGGGGGACGATCGCCTAAACGGTTTTTACCCCTTGTGTGCAAAACGGTCCATTACATTTAGTAATTATATCACATGCAGAGGGGAGGGTTTGTGTGCCTTAGCTGGGAGTGTCTGACTGTACTGTACTGTGTTGATTGGCTGTTGTAACTTTGTGTCCTGTGTACCACAAGTTCCACGTGGGTGGTAATCTTGTGGGAAAAGGTGTGTATATAAGAAAGTCCTGTGTGCTCATCAAACGAGTTCTACTTTAACCCTCAACTCGCAGCTAGGTTGGTTGTCACGGGCCCGGCGGCCCAGGCCCCATGTGGAGCAGCAAAACTGTCATTTAGGGCCACTCGATGAGCCCTAACTCTTCAGGGGCCCGGTCAGCGCTGCGGGCGTGTAATAGCGTGACCGGGCCCCATTAAAAAAGATTCCTCCCAGCTTACTCCATGTGTGAAGGAGAAGAGACAACCTGAATGCCACGAGGAGAGGTGAGGCAAGGCAGTTGACTCCCTTCATCCCCAGCCACCCTCCTGCAACAAAAAGGTAAGGAAGAGGAGGGTGGCAGAAAAATTAGGTGTGTGTGCATGCATCTATGTATGTATATATGTATCTGTTTGTCAGTATGTATGTGTGTATCTAGCTATCTATCTATGTGTCGATGTATGTATGTCAGTATGCCTGTATGTGTGTCTGCGTATGCCTCTATGTATGCATGTAATGTATGTATGTATCTATGTATATGTCAATATGTGTGTGTGTGTGTGTGTCTGTATGTATGTCAGTATGTATGTCTGTATGTATATGTGTGTGTGTGTGTGTATCTGTATCTCCTTATGCACGTGTGTGTGTCTGGATGTATGTTTGTATGTGTCTGTGTATGTGTGTGTCAGTATGCCTGTATGTGTGTATGTCTGTTTCAGTATTTGTGTCTGTTAGTATGTGTGTATCTTTCTGTGTGTTTCTGTGTATTCCTGTGGGCGGGATTTGGAGGGCTTTGTTGGGCGGGCTTTGAGGCAGGTACCCGGGGGCCCAGACCTTGAGCTGTGTTAGGGGCCCCAAAATTTCTGATGGCGGCCCTGCTCGCAGCCTTAACTCGTGTTTGGCTACATGGATTGCTATGCTCCCTTAGCTTCACTGAGCTCTTGTAAGAGCTCTTGTTCCTGATCCTGCGTCGCGCTCTGGGAGGAAGAGAGGTTCACCCACTGGAACCTGGAACCTTGTCGCAGGTCCAGGGTGGGTAGGAAACGACGAGACCCCAACCCAGAAGCGGCGGTTCGTCTGGTCTGCGGTACTTATGGTGTCTGCGGTGCTGACGGTCCTTGGTGAGTGCTAGGAGCATCCTTTCTACGGTCCAACCCTCAGCTAGCCTGGGGCAACCGTAACAGACAGAATGACACTCCTAGAGATACAAATAGTGACACATATACTGATACACAGACACACACTGACAAACATGCGGATACATAGACTAACATACAGACAGATACACATATAGATACACATACAGATATACAGATGCACAGATACACATTCAGACATACAGATATTCAGACATGCAGACACACAAATACACATACAGAAACACATACAGATACACAGCCACACATACAGACATACAGATACGCATACAGACACCGATAAATACACACATATGCCAGCTGCACATTTTTTAGTCACGTTCCTGTTATCTACCTTTTAGGTGCAGGAGGGTGACTTCCCTGGGGTCCAGTGGCTGACAAAGGCTGATGGGAGTTAGAACTCCCACTCTGACCCGTCCCATCCTTCTCCTCCTGTCTGGTTCTCTTGTCTTCCTCCAACCGCGTGGCTTTGTAAGCTGGGAGGAAGGGACAGCTCACTTTCACCCAAGCGGACATCATTACAATGGGCCCCTGAAAATGCATTGCATGAGTGGCCCCCGCGGTAATACTGCCCAGGCCCTGGCCGCACCACATTGCTGGTGGGAACCGCGGTCATAGGTACACCACTTCTCCTGCCAGTCACAGCATGTAGCATGGCCGAGCAGGCTGACTGTGGTAGAGGAGCCTCTACCCAGTCTTACAGGAAGTGCTCTCAGAGAGCACAGAACTATTTCCTGTCAGACTGGGTAGAGGAAACAGAGGCTCCTCTGCTGGGACTGCTCGCCTCATGTGAGGCTGAGCAGGCACATGATGGAGGGTAAAGAAGGGCACAGGAGGGGAGGGGGCAAAAGAAGGGCACAAGAAAAGTGGGATAAAGAGGGCACAGGAGGAGGGACAAAAAAAGATACAGAGGAGAGGGTTCAAAAGAAGGTTATAAGAGAGTAGGTTGATAAAAAACGGCACAGGAGTGCAGGGGGCTAAAGAGGGCACAGAAGCTGGGACAAAGAAGGGCACAGGATTGGAGGGGGATTACAGAGGATACAAAAGGGGAGGGGGCTAAAAAGGCAGGGGCTTTAGAGGTCACAGAAGGTGAGAGGGCAAAAGAAGGGCACAGGAGGGGTGTGTGGAAAAAGAAGGGCACGGGAGGAGAGGGAGGCAAAATAAGGGTATAAGAGGGGAGGGGTGCACAAGAGAGGAAGGTGGTTACAGAGGGAACAGGAGAGGAGGGGGCAAAATAAGGGCACAGGAGGGGGAGGGGGCAAAATAAGGGCACAATAGAAGGGGTTCAAAAGAAGGGCACAGGAGGAGAGAAGGGCACAGGAGGAAATGGCAAAGGAGGGAAGAGGAGCAAAAGAATGGCACAAGAGGAGGTGGGTCGAAAAGGGCATAGGAGGGAAGGAGGGCACAGAAGGATCTGGATGAGGTGGCCAACAGAGGAGCTGATGGGGATGAAGACACACACAGGGGCTGAGGGGGGGACAAAGAGATGCACACATGAGCTAAAGGGAGAAAAATAAACACACAGGGGAAAAAAACACAGAAGGGCTGGGGAAGAGGAAAAAGAGACTCAAAGGGGTAAGCAAAAAACAGACACACAAAGGGACAGGTGGAAGAAAGAGACCTTCCGAAGGTGAAAAAGAAACACACAGAGGGGAATGGGGAAAAAAAGACACACAAAGGGGTTTGGGTAGAAACAGACTCCTGCTGAGGGAAGAAAGATGCATGCCAGTCAACCACAGCTGCCAGGCGCAGTCAGCCAGCCAGTCACAGCAGCCAGCCTGTCAGTCATCTACAGCAGCCAGCCAACCAGTCTGCCAGCCATCTACAGGCGCCAGCCAGTCTGTCAGCCATCTACAGCAGCCAGCCAGTCTGCCAACCAGCCATAGCAGCCATACCGCCTGCCAGCAATCTACAGCAGCCAGCCTGCCTACCAGCCACAGCAGTCAGCATGCCTGCCAGCCAGCCATCTACAGCAACCAGCCTGCCTGCCATCTACAGCAACCAACCAGCCACAGCTGACACCCAGTCACAAATGAGCCACAGCAGCCAGCCTGCCTGCCAACCAGCCACAGTGGCAAGCCAGTCTGCCAAGCAGCCAACAGCCAACCAATGAATAGATTGTTTTTCTATTATTATTAAACTCTGGATGTATGTATTAAAGATATGTTTAAGGCCGTAAGGCCTGTATTTGTGGGAGGAGTTAGCGTTCCTATATAAACGCTACTCACCCCTTCCTACTTTGCCGTACGCACACTGTTCACCTTGTCTGTGACAGCCGAACTTCCGGTCCTCGCTCTTCCGGTCCCCACTCTTCTGGTCCAGCGTCCTCTCCGTTCCCCTGCCCCTCCTTTTGGGTGACGAAACATACGAGCGCCAGCTAATCAGCAAATAGCCGCGTTCGGGCTATTTGCCGCTCAACAATTGCCAACCAAATGTGGATATTGTGCCATTTATCACTAATGGTTTATTAAACAGTTTGTTATTTTGCTTATATATAAATAATGTTATGTATAGCTTTTGTCACATAATTTTTCTGCTCAAGTCATATAACTCTTATCAGATGTATTTAAATGCTGGATGATAGTGAAAAAATATAGTGGTTTCTTGATTGTAAAATAACCAAAGAAAACATCTGGTTGTGCAAAAAAAAAATTAAAAATTAATAAAATCATGCAAGAAGCATAGTGTATGGGGGGGAAAAATAAGTATTTTCACCATAGCTCAATATATTATGTTCAGCTTTGAAGTGGAAGTAGTGAGATATCTTCCAGGAAATGTCTTATATTTCCCATGAACCTTTGCATAGTTTTCTTATTCAATTCACAATTATTTTTACAAATATATTGTGCATGCGCAATCCAAGTTTTCACTCATTTGAATTAGAATAACTGAGCATATGTGGTCCGTCCTTCTCTAATAGGCCCTTCCCTTCTCTCTCTATACTATAAGGGCACATCCATTGGAGAGCGAAGAATAACACTCAACTACTAACAGTTTACAGAAGTTATACTACACACCGGTCTTCTTAAATTCAGGACATACAAACAGTTTGTTTTACTTGTACCTATACATTGGCTTTCTGTACATTCGTTTAAACCGGTTCATTCATTTGCATCCTGCCAAACGAGGTCTCATGTCTAAATTTAATGTTACCCTTAAATGGCCTTCATATGAAACTACCGAACAGGGGCCAACCCGCTTGTACGCCAATGAATTCGCTTAGACTACACAAAGCCTGACGGTAAGGCTTTCGTGCACACGTTCACAAAGATAGAATTACGGCTAAACAGCATGCTACATACTGACCCCTGTCGATCGCTCAGTACAAGATTTGTTAAAGAACATTTGTTCGCACAGACGCTCGCAACCCACCAGGTATTCAGTGAGATTGGTCACGTTCGGGCTATTCCCGCCATTCAACCGATTTTTTTCCTTAACTATACACACGAATATATGAGACAATATTTTTTAGTTTATTTGAACACTGATTAATTTCTTCTGTTTTTTTTTTCTCTCTCTCCGTTATTTTACAGCTGTCCTCACTTGTTGGTATTATTCATATGGTCTGTGCAAGCTTAGATCTGGGGGAAAAGTTACTGCCAAAAGTACATACTGATTTTGCTCATTATATTATTTTCTCTTTATGGTTTCACTTCCACATGTCCTGCTTGTATACACTGAGGTTGAGATTTATTCTGTTGATTATATCGTAGGTGCCAGGTGTTAACAGAGGGAGTTAAATTAAACAAACCCCAAATCACAGACTCTTAATGCTGAGTTCAGCAGTAATTAATATCGCAGTAATACTGCCTATGTCTTCAATTCGTCAGATTATCCGTTCTCTCATTAATTCTAATAAATTGCTGCAAACTAGAACATTAACCTCCCAGATGCCATTCCTTTAACCCTTTACTGGGCATGAATAAACAAATGTCTGAAGCCTCGTCATGGAGCTGCTTGCTAATTACAGATCACTGGGTGCCTTATTGGGGTATCTGAAAGTTAAATGGTTCCTTTACTTAATACAATTATAAATCCACTAAGTTTGTGACATAATGCAATTACTATGTTGGCTGGAGAGCCTTCCTTTTAAATTTGCCCCACATCACGTCCTGTTTTCAGGTTTGTTTAACCCCTTAAGGACCAAACTTCTGGAATAAAAGGGAATTATGACATGTCACACATGTCATGTGTCCTTAAGGGGTTAAAGGTGTATCTACAATTGGTGCATCCCATGTGACAATACTCAATGTCTGACATTGCACTGTATATTGATTGTTCAAGTATATTATTTTTCATATCATCTTAGTGATATTTTGCATAGGAACAATACTACCTCTAACTCCTGGCACACAAGTTCCTTTCCTCCTGTTACTTAGAGTCTAGATAGTAGTAATGTTGTGGCGTAAAGTGTGTGGGCCGGTTTTGGCTGTTAGTACCCCTAACCAAGGGGACTGCGGAGGGGAGGTGCGGGGGGAGGAGTCGTAGTAGGTGTCTTGCTCTATTCCTACCCTCCTATCTCATGGGTCATCACTCAACATATGCCAGCTCCCATACAAGGAGGGTGCACCGGGTATGGTAACCCTGTCTTAGCAATAGGAACAACAAAAAGAGTTATCAAAACAAGGATAAATCTTTGTGGGATGAGTACAGTCCATAGCTGCCCGTTGCTCGTTGGGTTTTGAACCCAGTCATGTCCCAGTGCCCGTAGTCATGTGGTAGAAAAGAGATTTTTTTTTTAAAAGTAAGAACACAAACTTTTTGAGCGATACATATGGACACTTTGGAAATACATACATCAAACACATCTTTTTCCCTATGAAATTCTTGAGACAATTTGGAAAATGTCTGTGTTAGCCAGACCACTTCTGGAATTCTGGATTTTTTTCCCAGAATTCCTTACACCTAATTTCTCCATCACTAAACCTTTGACAAACATCCTTGAACACTTCTCACTCACACATCCATTCTTATATACATTGGATTATTACATCTCCAGGACACCAAGAACGCTCTCAAGATTTTTAAATATAACTGTTTATTTCAATTTAAAATATATATTTATACCTGGATAATGCTGATCACATTTTAAAATTTAATCATAATTAGCTAAAGGGAATAATATAATTCAGAATTTCAGGTGAAATTAAGGAATTTTATTATTATCTTATATTGAATCGCTGGTAATTTGCCAAGTTTAGCATACCAAGTTTTTTATCCCGAGATATTAGACACGATGTGACGAGACCAATCTCGCCACATTGCATTGGAGGAGCCTGGTTGCCCGCCTGCTGCCTTTGGATTATGGACCGGCAGTTAAACGGTTAATTTTACTGTGCAGAAAGATTTATTCCTTCCTTTCTGCACAGCCGTTCGGTAGATTCTATCTACCGAACAAACAGACTTCTATCAGCCTCCCCAGAGCCGTGAGCCCCAGAGCCGTGGGAAGTCGACCGGCGCCGTTAATTGGCCACCCAGAAGCTGGTGTGTGCCCTCCATTTACCTCCCTGAAGCCGCGGTTAACCGCGGCTTAACGAGCATGTGCCGGCAATTGACCACCCAGTAGCTGCGATTAACCGCAGCTTAATTGACTGTAACTGGGTGGTCGCGGTTACACCTAGCCGCCACACGATGGCGATGTTCTGGAGCTCCCCGGGCAGCCAGCGCTTTTCTGCCCGGCTTTCCTACGCCAAATCTGGACACTGTGTCAGCTAAGAACCGCTGAGCCTCCAGCCCCTGGTTCTAATTTGTACCAATTTAATGAATGTATGTGAAATTCGGTATTTTGTGTTGGGGGAATGTTTTAACCCAGATAGCTATGCTATTCGTGTAATTAAAGACTTTGGCTCCATGGCAATTAAACTGTATTCGTGTGGTCTGAGTGCCATTCACCTAATAATGTGCACTCAGACCTGAGCTATCTGGGGATATGTTACATGTCTGTGTTTTATGTAATAAGTGTTACTTTATGTATTTTAAAGTATAATACTGGTTTTGTGTCCCCACGTGTATAATGGAGTTTTGCCTTTGTCTTGGGAGATAATTGAATTACTTCTCAATTATCTCCTAGGGCAGAGGGGAGGAAGCCAGGATGCATTGTGGGAATATTATGTGCCTGTGTGTCCTGAAATACTGTGTGTCCTATTTGTCTGCTTGTCTGTCCCTTGTCATAGTCTCCCATTTGGTCCCCTAGGGGAGTGTCCACCAGGTGGGAGACCTGCATAAATACTGGGCAGGTAGCCTTCATTAAACAGACCACTGCTTGACCCTTAACACCCTCAACAACATGCTGTTCTATGTTTGAACAGCAATTGGGTACATACTTGCAAAAATATTATAATTTGTGAGGTTATAGCTTCTTGATCCAAGGAAATATCTGACTGGGGTCAAGAATGAATATTTTCCTAGTTTGTTGGAAAATTGGAAAGTGCTTCAAACTGGGTTTTTGCCTTCTTTTCGGTCAGTGTTTGTGACTAAGTGGATAATAATGTCAGGATTAGAGTATGATCCAGCACGTAGAATTGTGTAACACAGAGGACTGATAGGTAACGTTTACCGGACCTTAAAATGGCCGGACTAACGTACCAAAGAATAGTCAGGAATAGCCAAGGTCAAGGGATACAGAAAGAGACACAACGATAAGGAAAAGCCAGGAGTCAGGGATACCAGAAAACAGGGAAGTCACAAACAATGCCAAAGTCAAATAACCAGAATTACCAGAATAAATAACGCACTCTTGGACAACCATAAGGGAAACCACAACAGGGCACTGAACAGGATGAGAACTGGGCCTAAATACCCCTCCTCTAGTTCTGATAGGCTATAACCAGTCAGATGCCGGAACCCAAGAACGATCGGCTGGTTCATAACCTTTCCAATCCACCAAGTACTGTAAAGTGCACCGAGAAAACCTGGAATCTATTATGACTTCATTCTCTTCCTGTCCAGAAACAACTAAGGGAGGAGGAGGGACACTTGAGACAGTATATTTATTGCAAACAAGAGGTTTGAGCAAGGACACATGAAAGGTATTAGGAATTTTCAAGGAGGCTGGAAGGGCCAGAGAGTACGCAACAGGATTGATCCTACGAAGGACACGAAAAGGTCCAAGGAACCTAGGAGCAAATTTCATGCTAGGGACTTTGAGCCTGATGTTACGAGAAAATAACCAAACCCTCTCACCCACTTGGTATACAGGGTTGGCACCTCTACGTGTATCAGCATGATGCTTGAAACGGTCAGCAGCAGTACCCAGAGCAGATTGAACTTTAGCCCAGGTGGCACGAACGCACCCTACTCCAAGAGTGCGCATGATGTAGTTGTGGTGGTGAAAGGGTTAAAGCACACTAAATAGTGACAAAATCCCCCTTCTAACACCACCCACACTTAAACATAATAATATAACTATTACTATTTCAACGCTGCCACCACCAAGGCAATTTATAAATGGGGTGCCTTGGTTCCCCAGATAAATCAACTATAAAACCCACCAAATATTACTTAGTACAATATTTAAGGAATTACAAAAATACTAACTAGTCTCTGCATTTATTGCATATAACAATATATGATAAACAAATTATTTACACCAACAACAGAAAAAAACAAAAAGGATAAAATACAGAAGTCCTAATTACTCACTTAGGTTTTCAAAGTACAACTTCGGTCAAGGGGGTCTCTGGCAAGGAAAGATGGTGACTCACTCAAAATTAGATCTTGGCCCCAAGCAAGTACCCCAGCACCCTTCAGGATCATTAGATATATACCCTGTGGTTTATCAAGTCTTGCCTAGGGGTAGAGTTAAGGCGTACCCATAGAGATACTAAGTGACTACCTCCTTTGTTCCAGAAAACAACAAGCCAAATATAAACTTTTGGTTTTATCTCCTCTACTGTACTTTCCACAGAAATAATAATTGCTTCTATGAATTTGTTATTATTTTCCCATTCCATAGATGTGTTGCACGCCCCACCCACGATCCAATAGGACAGACAGCACAATTCCTGCCACACGGTTTAAGTTGTGCAACTCATGTTGAGGCTTAATTAAGAGATTGGGCTTATCCCATTCCAAATATAATACAAATGAGGCTTAATTATTAAGCTGTGGGTAAGTATTAATGTTTCTCTTGGATAAAATGCTGGAACACAAGGATCTTCATGAAACTAATCCCATTACCATATCAAATGATTGAACTATCCTTTACAAGGTACATGCCAAATGGATGAAGAGACATTCAGACTTTTTCCAAGTGTAGAACCTCACACCTCGCAGAGCCTTGATTACTTCACATCCATATAGTAAAATCCTTTTCACATTGCTATGCCATTCACACTACCCCTTCTGTCATCTGACCTCTGTGGGGGTCCCAGCTTCAAAAGATGTAACCCCTTTTGACCTCAACAATACCATGTCTGTATTTTGTGCCATTTACTACACCAATTACATTAAAGGATAATATGCCATAGAGTTATAATAAATTATGCACCCTTGCCGTGACACCAGGTATCACAGATTGAAGCTAGACGGTCATCCAAAGCAGGAATAGCCGTAATTGAAAAAACAGCCGGTAGGATGCCGTCCATTATTAACAAAAAATGGACTATGTCCAGAGGAGTCATGGTCAGCATTGTTCATAGTAAACTTGGCCTATGGTAGTAATTCGGACCAATTGTCTTAAGTGCTATTAATGAAACAACGCAAATATAATTCCAAGAAAGAAATGCACCTTTAGCTGAACAAATTCCAGCCAAAAAGGATACACAGAAAGTGGATTAATGGGGTACTAAAAAGGGCCTAACCCTTATATTAACCAATACACAGAAACAAAGAGAGGAGACAGTATCCCTGAAGCACAGGAAACAAGTCCCCTCAATCCTAATACCCCTTCTGGAGCAATATATTTGCCCACTACCATGTATTACAAAAAATAATAAAGTTTTATTAAAGATCATTAAAATCTCATGTATAAATTCTATAATACATCAAACTGTTATTGACTAAGAGTGAGGGAACATGGAAGAAAGCAATTTGAAAAATGTATATATCTAAATAGTGTAACTTGACACTAGGTTGCAAAAATTCCAATAGAGAAGTAGTAAGAAAAATCTACTTCAGGTTACAATAAATTAGCAACAGTGTCCAAAAAGTAATAAGGACAGGCTAAAAGTTCATTCAAGTTCCCTCAGGCTAGTCCACAGTGAACCAAAAGGTTAACTCTTCACTAAATAACTATTTATAAATATATGGTCCTAATCATATACTATAAGTATAAATTAGTATTGGCCATAATGGCTCCTTATAACGTATCAGAGTTGGTAAATAGAAAGGATAGTGAGATGTCAGTGAAGAGAGTAGAAAATAAAGTAAGGAGGTAGTAAAGAGAGTACAGTAGGTCAAAAGACCTGGGCTAGTTTCAAAAAATAATCATAAAAAGAGTGCAAAGTAGATTGCCCATATCTTCTCCCCCCTACACACACACACAGAAAGAAAGAAACCCGACGCGCGTTTCGGCGGTAATGTCCGCCTTTGTCGAGGGTGTAGTAGTGTGCAAACGATCCCCCTTCCTCCCCTCCCTTATATACACATTTGCGTTTGTAATTGGCGCCAAAAAAGGAGACTCGTCACCAGTAGGCTGAGCTCCAGTTTTGTTACGCCTACATAGTTTGCCGGTGGGAGGTCTCATATTCATGTATGTAAATCAGGGTGAAAAATGCGCATGCGTCAGGTCCCGGCATACAGCCGGAGAAGAATGAAGCACATATTATACCGGCATCAGAGAAAACCCCCAATGTTGGCAACAAGCAACCAAGATAATACACTGTGTGTATGTTATTTCCCATTCGCAAAAGTTGGCATTTAGCCAAAAATCGCGCATGTGTACAGTTAAAGCCCTCACACAGCAGGATACAAATGTATCACACTATGTTACCTTTCAAACATATAAATTCCTTATAGTAAGAAATGGGATAACACCATATAAGAAAGTAAGTAAATAGAGGATAATAAGGTGTAGTGTTCCCATAGTCAAAAGACAGAATAGGAATATAATGCATATATATGATGATACAAGCAAAAGAAATGAGATTATGAAGGGAAAAAGGAAAAGAGGGATCAGTTGAAAAAAACCAAACAATAATAAAGAAATAAGAAAAGCATTTATATAATTCAAAAAGCATATATAAGTAGATAAACCCTAAAATGGCAGGTCCAAATAGTGATAATACCCAGAGAACTGAGCAGAGTCTTAGAATCAACTCCCAGACAGAATCAGTCAGTACAAATGAGATAAGTCCTTATGGGTCAATAATTCAATAGAATGCTATACTCCCGATACAATATGTAAAGCATGCATATATATATAGAGACGTGCCTATATCTCCAGAGAATAATAAAGGATCAAATAAATGGAGCAAAAGAGAAGCCCTCATTTAAACCCAAGGGTTGTAGTGTCTTAAGTCTATAGATCCACCTAGACTCTCTCCGTCTCAATAAGCAATCGTAGTTCCCTCGCCACGGATGTCTCTTAACCCATTCAAGACCACAAAATTTCAGATTACTAGAGTCACTCCCATGACATTCTCTAAGATGTCTTGAAATTGGTGTTTCGAGGCGATTCCTAGGGGACCTTACATGTTCCATGATCCTTTCTTTAAACGCTCTAAAGGTCTTGCCTACATATTTTTGTCCACATGAACAGGACAGGAGATACACCAGACCCTTCGTGTTGCAATTGAAAAAGTTTTTAATCTTGATAGAGACTTTACCAGTACTATCATTGACTACCTTAGATTCCTTCAAGATATATTTGCACGCTACACATCTACCGCAGCCATAGGAACCACATGGAGGATTACCCAACCATGTGTCCCTTGGCTGCGGTTTAGTGGATAGATGACTGGGTACTAGTAGGTCACGAATATTGCGGCCTCTTCTGGCTGTGATATTAATACAAGGACCTAAAATTTCCTTCAAATGTGAGTCATTCAAGAGAATCGGCCAGAATCTATTCAAACAATTTTTTACTTCGGACCATCCCGTATCGTATGTGGCAATCATACGAATGTCGCCTGTGTTTTTCAGGATTTTATTCCTGGGATGATCACTAAGAAGATCTTTTCTATCAATTTCAAGCTTTTTTGAGACAGCGATTTGGGTAGCCTTTCTCCTTGAAATGTAAACGAAGTTGATTTGCCTTTATTTTGAAATCCAATACATCGCTACAATTTCTCCGGAGGCGAAGATATTGGCCAACCGGGATTCCCGCCTTAAGGGGCCTTGGATGGTAACTCTTCCAATGGAGCAGGGAGCTTGTAGCGGTTGGTTTTCTATATAAAGTGGATGTCCCATCCTCATTGATGGAAATCGTAATATCTAAAAAATTAATTGAGCGTCCACCAAATTCCGAAGTGAATCTGAGATTCTCATTATTCTGGTTTAGACATTCCACTAAGGCTGCAAATTCCTGTGTGGACCCCTGCCATACCAATAAAATATCATCGATATAGCGTCCCCACCATAGAATCTTAGGGAAGTAGTCTCTCAAGGTCTCTGAGGAAAAGATGTATTTTTCCCACCACCCCAGGTGAAGGTTTGCATATGAGGGGGCACAAGCTGTCCCCATTGCAGTACCCCTCACCTGGTGATAAAACTTGGTGTTGAACAAAAAATAGTTATGTGATAGGATAAATTCTAAAAGGCGTACCACAAAATCTGCATGAAGATAATCTCTACACATCCTTTGGTTTAGAAAGAATCTTACATGTTCCAAACCCCTATTGTGAGGGATGGATGAATAGAGTGATTCAACGTCCAAACTACAGAGGTTTGCACTTGGAGATAACTTAAGGTTAGAGAGTAGATTCAAAGCTTGCTTAGTGTCCCTTATGTATGATGGCAAGGTCTCTACCAAGGGTCTCAAAATTCTATCCACGTACAGACTACCGTCTGTACCGAAATATAATTCCAAGGACTGGTAAGCCCTTTCAGCTGTACCATTGGTCTGGGGGTGGTTAGAGGACGAAAAAGACAATTCAATCCCTAATTGTTTATTGAAGGCCCTCCAAAACCGAGACACAAACTGAGAACCTCTGTCAGATACTATATTGTGAGGAATGCCATGCAGACGGACAATTTCTCGTATAAAGATTAGTACCAGGTCTTGAGATGACGACAATTTCTTGAGAGGAATAAAATGAGCCATTTTAGAAAAATGGTCCACAACCATGAGAATGGTGGTATAACTGTTAGAACTAGGAAGTTCAACAATGAAGTCCATGGACAAGTGGGACCATGGGACCTCAGGAATAGGAAGAGGTTGTAACAAGCCACAAGGGAGTTTATGAAGCACTTTGGAAACCGCACAAACAGAACAAGCCTGCACATATTCCTTAACATCCCACCTGAGGGAATCCCACCAGAATGACCTCATGATAGCAGAAGTGGATTTATTAATACCTAGGTGACCAGCAGACACATTGTCGTGAAACACCTTCATGATATTAACCTTCTCCCCCAATGGAATGAACAGTTTGTCCTGAGGTTTACAATGATGGAGCCAAGCAGTGGAGAGGACAATGAAAGGACAGTGGACGCAATGATACATTCCAGGGGAATGATATGGGATGTTTCTTGCTCTAGCATAGCCTCAGTATCAAACTGCCTGGACAAGGCGTCGGCCTTGACATTTTTAGAACTAGGTCTGTAAGTGATAAGAAAATTAAAGCAAGAAAGAAATATAGACCACCTAGCTTGTCTAGAAGATAATGGCCAGGTTTTTGTAATCAGTAATGATCAAAAGGGGGTCCTTGGAACTCTCTGAAACATGTCACCTCTCATTGAGAGCTAGAATTATGGCCAACAATTCTCTTTTGCCAATATCATAATTGCACTCAGCAGGAGACAACTTTCTAGAAAAGTAACCAAAAGGATGTAACAGAGTTTCCTGGCTCTCCCTCTGGGAGAGAACTGCCCCTACCCCTGTCTCTGAAGCATCAACCTCCAGTGTGAAAGGCTTACTGGTGTCAGGATGTACCAATATGTCGGCGGAGGCAAACCGCTGTTTAAGAGTTTCAAAGGCTTCAATAGCATCCTTAGACCATATCGTACTACTAGCCCCCTTGCGTGTTACATTGGTGATGGGGGCTATTACCGAAGAAAATCCCTTTTTAAATCTTCTGTAATAATTGACGAAACCAATGAACCTTTGAATGGCTTTCAAACCAGTTGGTAAAGGCCACTGTAGAACAGACTCTAGTTTTTTAGGACCAATCTAAAACCCAGAGGCAGAAATATTATATACTAAAAATTGTACTTCAGACTGGTCAAAGATACATTTTTCCAATTTACAATAAAGTTGTTTTTTTAACAAGGTTTGCAGAACTTGTTTAACGTGATCATGGTGAGACTGGAGGTCAGGAGAATATATAAGGATATCATCCAGATAGACCAAGACAAACTAGTAAATGTAATCCCTGAGTACATCGTTAATGAAATCTTGGAAAACCGGTGGAGCATTGCACAACCCGAATGGCATCACTAGATATTCATAGTGTCCACTTCTGGTATTAAATGCAGTCTTCCACTCATGGTTTTCCTTGATTCTCACTAAATTGTAAGCGCTTCTAAGGTCAAGCTTAGTAAACACTTTAGCGCCCTGGAGTCTGTCAAATAATTCAGCAATAAGAGGAATGGGGTTGGCATTCTTAATGGTGATTTTGTTCAATGCCCTGTATTCGATACATGGGCGCAACTCACCATCCTTTTTAGATACAAAACAAAATCCTGCAACAGCAGGCGAGGATGATTTTCGTATATGGCCTTTATTCATTGAATCCTTAATATATTGCTCCATTACACTACTCTCCTGAGGAGATAGAGCATAGACTGCTCCTTTAGATGGCATAGAGCCGGGTAGTAAGTTAATGGAACAGTTATATGGTCTATGAGGAGGTAGAGTATTAGACTGAGTCTTGCTGAATACTTCTTTAATGTCATGGTACTGTATAGGAATCTCAGGATTTTGAGGTGTACTAGTGGGTAATTCAATAGTGCCCACTCTTTTGGTGACATGCAATATGCACCTTTCATTACAATCCTTACCCCATTCTAATATTTCCCCATTAGCCCAGTCAATGTTAGGGTTATGCTTGCTAGGCCATGGGAATCCTAATATAATAGGACAAGAAGGAGATGCAATCACCTGAAATATAATCTATTATGTAAGGCACCAATGGAAATATTTATGGGTAAGGTTTCATGCGTTATCAATGGTTGTGAGAGTGGTCTCCCATCAATAGCTTCAACGGTTAGGGGTGATAGTCTCTCCTTGATAGGGATAGTATTATCCTTGACAAATTGACAAATTGGACATCAATGAAATTTCCAGCAGCCCCTGAGTCCATCAGGGCTTTGCATGAAAAGTTATTTTTGTCAAGAATAATCGAAATATCAACGAGAAGTCTATATTTATTCTTTTCAGAGGACGTCTCCATTAAACCTGAGACCTGTCTCCTTAAGGCACTTAGGTGGGGTAGTTTCTTCGGACAAATGGGACAATTGTCTCTCATATGTCCATTACTACCGCAGTATTAACATAAACCTTCATTTCTCCCATATTGTTTCTCGGCCTCTGACAGTCTAGTGACCCCCAACTGCACTGAGTTCAGGTTTGGACTGTATAGGAAGGTCAGGAACAACAGGTTCGAAGAGATGGGGTGTTAAGGACATAGTCAAACATCTGGTCTTATTTCTAGTATTCTCTCTGGTTCTTCATCTATTATCAATTTGCATAACAAATGTGATGAACTCGTTAAGTTTCTAGGGTAGATCTTTAGCGGCAATCTCATCTAGCATAGTGTCAGATAGTCCATTTTTAAATGCAGAGATTAGCCCACTGCTAGTCCAGTTTACCTCAGAGGCCAGGGTACAAAATTCTATGGCATAATCCGAGAAAGACTGGTTCCCTTGTCTGATGTGCATCAGAGCAGTGGAAGCGTTGTCCTCCCTGCCTAAAGGTTCAAACGTAAGTTTAAATTCCATAAGAAACTCCTGGTAATTGTGCGCCACACTCCTATTACTCTCCCATAATGGATTGGCCCAAGCTAAAGCTTTACCTTTTAACTGATTCATTAGGTAACCAATTTTAGCTCTGTCTGTGGGAAAAGATCCTGGTGAGGCCTCAAAATGATACTCCATTTGGTTAAGGAATCCCCTGCATTCTTGAATATTACCATCAAAATGCAGGGGAAGAGATAGGGAGATAGTAGGTGCCTGGTGTACTATAGGTGGAGGTGAGGCCGCAGGTTGCAGATGCGCTGTTTGAGTAAGAAGCGTACTGAGGGCCTGGGCAAATTCATCCATGCGGTGATCATTTTCCTCCAGTTTCCTTTCACCAGCAGCTATGTGCTTATACAATTCTACGGGATCTATGGCCTTGTCGTAATGTCAGGATTACAGAATGATCCAGCACGTAGAATTGTGTAACTTGGTTGCTTCATCTAAGTGCTGCTTCTAAGTGTGTAGTTGGAGATATTCTGGAGTGTTTTACAGAAGCTTCAACTGTCTAAGAGTTGTGCTAAGAGCTTTCTTTTTTACTGTTACAGGTAAGATTAATCTGTAGGAAAAGGTTACTGATTGCACAAGGTTTGAATTCCTGTTGGTAATTGGTAAGGTATTTGATTTGATTAGTTAGCTACTTGCTATTGATTGCTGTATAATTAGCTATTATTTGCAAATAAACAGAGGCCTACCCAGGTGTTAAACATTCCTAGTGGGTGGTGATTTTAGGAGCTATATTAGGGTTGTTGTCATTAGCTTGGCTAATATAGCTTGGTTGCTTCATCTAAGTGATGCTTCTAAGCGTGTGGTTGGAGATATTCTGGAGATAACCTGGAGGTAATCTGAGGTATTCAAGAGGATAAATAAAAAAAAAATTAAGATTTGTTTGATTTAAATTATTCACCTCATTGGAATGGCAGACTTAGTTCAGTGTAATAGTTGCTATGCATTTGTTTCACGTTCCACTTTTTGGAGGTTTGGTTGTTGTCTAATCTGTAGACAGTTCTCTATCTTGCGGCAGGAGATTGTATTTTTGAAGTCTGAGATTTGTAAATTATCTGGTAAACAAACTCAGGCTGGAACTGCTGCAAAGCCACTGCCGTAAAGACATACTAGGAATGGCAGATGGATTACTGTAGGATCTGGTAGACTTAGAGTTGTGGATAAAAGGCATATTGCACAGTCTGTTGCTCTACATAATTCATTTTCTGCATGTTACGAGTGTAATGGTGTTATGGAGACAGGCACTGAGGGTAGTGGTGTTGTGGAGAGAGGCACTGAGGATAGTGGTGTTGTGGAGACAGGCTCAGGCAATGAGGATAGTGGTGTTGTGGAGACAGGCTCAGGCACTGAGGGTAGTGGTGTTGTGGAGACAGGCTTCGAGACTATGGTGAGGCCTAATAGAAAGCAGTTGTTGTTGGGGAATTCCATCATAAGAGGTGTGGAGATGGACAATGGTGGTCTTGTGAGGTTTCTTCCCGGAGCTACTGCTCACAGAGACAGGAGACGTATCTGTAATATTGTTAAGCGAGCAAAGCAGGAAGGGGAATTGGATGTACTTGTCCATCTAGGGACAAATGACTTGGCTTGGTTTCAGAGGTTAAGGAAGTTTTTAGTGTTTTTGCCAATGATATACGGCAGGTGGCTTCCACACTGTCATTCTCTGAAGTTCTGCCTGTGCATAACACTCAGAACGACAGGCGGATGCTGTGACGAGACCAATCTCGCCACATTGCATTGGAGAAGCCTGGTTGCTCGCCTGCTGCCTTTGGACTATGGCCCCCTGTTAAAAGACATCTTTTTTACCTGCAGAAAAGCTTCATTCATGCTTTTCTGCCTGGGGTTCGGTAGATTTGTTTGAATGTGTTTTACCCCAGATAGGAATCCCATGGAGCCCATTCGTATGAAACTGACTGTAAAGACTTTGGCTCCATGGCGATTAAACTGTATTCGTGTGGTCTGAGCGCCATTCACTTAATAATGTGCGCTCAGACCTGAGCTATCTGGGGATATGTTAAATGTATAGTTTTAATGTAATGTGTCTTACCTGGTATATTTTAACAGTAATGCTTGTTTTGTAATGGAGTATTGTCTCTGACATGTCTGTGTTTTATGTATAAAATGGGACTTTGTGTATTGTACAGTATTTTAATGCTTTGTGCTAACCATGTGCATAATGGAGTCTTGTCTCTGTCCTGGGAGATAATTTAATTACTTCTCAATTATCTCCTGGGCAGAGGAGAGGAAGCCAGCATGCATTGTGGTAAAAAGGGGGAGGGAATCTGTGGGTTGTAACTAATATGTTACTGGATATTTTATACCTCCCTGTGGGCGGTCCTGTATTTGCAAGACTGTAATAAAAACCAGGCTGGGTGTCCCAGCACCTCAGACCACTGCTTGACCCTCAACACAGAGCCTTGTCTCGTTCTTGGGGGGATTCACTGTATGCTGTTAGAGATTGATTGCCAGGAGTGTAAGCTGATTGTCTGCTTTTCCTGTTCGTCTGCTAGCAGCTATTCGTGAGGTTCCAGTTCGGGAGTTGGAGTGCTATTTTGTATCCAGTTCGGGAGTTTGGTGTTCTGCAGTAGCTGTGCCTGTATCTCTGGAAAGGGGGCCGATCGCCTAAACGGTTTTTACCCCTTGTGTGCAAAACGGTCCGTTACAGATGCGTATTAGGGACTTTAATTTGTGGCTTGGTGAATGGTGTCGGGAGCAAGGATTTGGCTTTATTTCTCATGGTAGCTCTGTCTGGAATGGAAATAAACTGTACAAAAAAGATGGTTTGCATCTTTCCCAAAAGGGAAAAAATGTTCTCAGTGAGCAGTTCAGAGGTTTTGCTAGGATGTATTTAAACTAGGAGGGGGGGGCAAAAGGGTGATAAAACATCAATCCAACTGTCCCCCAAAACAAGGACAGAAGATGCCTCTAGCAAGTGTGTTCTCGCAGTTTAGGGAATAATGGCAACTGGATAGCATAAAATCTAGCCTAATAAAAGTTAGTGAGGCGAACATTGAGTCCGTTTGGGTTAGGTAACTCGTGTAGGTGTGATTTATAGGCCCCCAGGACAAATTGAAGAGTTAGAGGAAATAGCTAAAATGACAATGAAGAGGGAAGTTATCATCATGGGTGACTTAAATCTTCCTCATGTTAATTGGAAAACAAAAATAGTTGCTTGTGCCAGGAGCACATATTCTAAACTGGTTAGGTGTACACTCAGTATTGGAAATTAATGATAAAAACCACCACTGGTGTGCATATGGAGCGCTTACAAATTTGTTGACTCACCCATATGGGTTAACATACATATGTATGGAAAACGTGACTCATAGCGATATATCTGAAACAAATGTAAATGCAAGAAATAGTGCAGATAACGTTTTCAATAAGTGCAGTGAGGGAATATTCTATATGGTCTCACTCACATGTAGCAGAGCCCTATAGGATAGGCTCAGATCTCAATGGCCTGCGTGTGCTTATGGTGACACAGTACCCAATCGGTCCTCTAGGCGTCTGGAGATCCTTATGCATACATGAGAGAGAGAGAGAGAAAACAAGGGGAAGAGGAGAACCCCTAGTGCGGTCAATCCCAATGTACAATGTCAAATAGTGCTGAAAAAGTGGCTTCTCACCTGATGTGGAGCCCTATACCTGGCTCCTGGTGTGTAGGTGTCTGTGCCTTTAAGGGGGCAACTACCCTTCTTTAAGCAGCAACAATGGAGGGTGGATTCCAAATATAAAACAAAATTTATTAAATAAAGTAGTAAAAACTTACAAGTAAAATATGAACAAAATTGTGAGAAATTATAAAATGTGGAATCTTCAATCCTCCAGCCGAAACATGTTTCACTGTACCCAGACAGCTTTTTCAATCGGTAATATAGTTGCTGCTGTTACTTGTTTAAATACTTTGTACTTCCTCCTGTGTGGTCCTTCAAACTTCCATCCCTCCAATCCGCTGGCGTCCTTTTTCATGAACAGCTGTACTGTGTTAGTAATGAGAATGCTCTGGTCTCGGAACAAGTCATGTGACCCGAAGCATCACGTGCTGCATCACAAATTGGGCGTGTTTTCAATGTAGGGCTCACAGTTCCATATCGTCCATTTTGAAGTTGGGAGTCATTTTAAGTGAACTTACACATGAGTTCACAGAGGAAGAGGTTCTATTTCAAAATTTGCCCAACTTCAAAATGGACGATATGGAAATTTCTCACAATTTTGTTCATATTTTATTTGTAAGTTTTTACTACTTTATTTAATAAATTTTGTTTTATATTTGGAATCCACCCTCCATTGTTGCTGCTTAAAGAAGGGTAGTTGCCCCCTTAAAGGCACAGCCACCTACACACCAGGAGCCAGGTATAGGGCTCCACATCAGGTGAGAAGCCACTTTTTCTGCACTATTTGACATTGTACATTGGGATTGACCGCACTAGGGGTTCTCCTCTTCCCCTTGTTTCTCTCTCTCTCTCATGTATGCATAAGGATCTCCAGACGCCTAGAGGACCGATTGGGTACTGTGTCACCATAAGCACACGCAGGCCATTGAGATCTGAGCCTATCCTATAGGGCTCTGCTACATGTGAGTGAGACCATATAGAATATTCCCTCACTGCACTTATTGAAAACGTTATCTGCACTATTTCTTGCATTTACATTTGTTTCAGATATATCGCTATGAGTCACGTTTTCCATACATATGTATGTTAACCCATATGGGTGAGTCAACAAATTTGTAAGTGCTCCATATGCACACCAGTGGTGGTTTTTATCATTAATTTCCAATACTGAGTGTACACCTAATCTTTTTTGTACTAATCTATAGGGTAGAGAGTCCCTATTTGTGTGGTAGCTGCTGTCATTCTATTCAATTATTAACTGAAAGCGCCTTGAAAACACACAAATTCTTATTTCTGTGGACATATTCTAAACTCCCTACTGGGATTGTCTCTAAAACAAGTCATTGAGAAGCCAACTCGTAAAGAGGCCATATTAGATTTAGTGTTAACAAATTGAGATTTGGTATCAGATATTACTGTAGGTGAAAGTTTAGGATCCAATGATCATCAGTTAGTGTGGTTTAATATAAGAACAGTGACTGTGTCACACCAAACAAAAACAAAAAAATTTAGACTTTAGAAAAACAGACTTTTCTAAAATTAGAATATGTGTAAAGGAGTCATTGTCAGACTGGAGCAATTTAAATGGAGTCTAAGAGAAATGGGATTATTTAAAAGTTGCAGTATTGAAGGCAACAGAAAATTGCATTAGGCTTGTCAGTAAAAGCTAAAAATTCAAGAAACCACTGTGGTACTCCGCAGATGTGACCAAAATAGTAAAAAACTAAAAGTTAGCATTTAGGAATTATACAAAAACCCAGAGTGAGGAAGACAGAATGATCTATAAGATTAGGCAGAAAGAGGCTAAGCAAGTTATAAGAGCTTCCAAATCACACACAGAAAAGAAAATAGCACAGTCAGTAAAAAAGGGGACAAATCTTTTTTTTTAGATACATAACTGAGAAAAGAAAAGTAAAACAAGTGTTAGTTAGATTAAAAACAAAGAAGGAAGGTATGTAGAAGAGGATAAAGGTCTAGCTGACTGCCTCAATGGATATTTTTGTTCGGTATTTACAGATGAAAATGAAGGAAAGGGACCTCAGTTAAGAAAAAGGATAAAGGAGTCATTTTAAGTGAACTTACACATGAGTTCACAGAGGAAGAGGTTCTATTTCAACTGTCAAAAGTAAAGACAAATAAGTCAATGGGACCTGATGGAATACACCCAAAGCTATTAAAAGAGCTTAGTGGTGTACTATCAAAACCATTAACAGATTTATTTAACCAATCATTGTTAACAGGAGTAGTCCCAGAAGATTGGAAGTTAGAGAATGTTGTGCCCATTCACAAGAAAGGTAATAGGGAGGAGTCGGGCAACTATAGGCCAGTAAGCCTTACTTCAGTAGTGGGGAAAGTGATGGAATCCATGTTAAAGAATAGGATTGTTGAACATCTAAAACCACATAGATTTCAAGATCAGAGACAACATGGGTTTACTTTAGGGAGATCATGCCAAACTAATCTTATAGATTTTTTGGATTGGGTAACTAAAATTATAGAGCATGGTGGTGCAGTAGACATTGCTTACCTAGATTTCAGTAAGGCTTTTGACACTGTTGCTCATAAAAGGCTTATCAATAAACTGCAACATTTAAGTTTGGATTCCATTGTTGAATGGGTAAGGCAGTGGCTGAGTGACAGGCAACAGAGGGTTGTAGTCAATTCAAAGTATATTCGAAGCTTGGGCTTGTCACCAGTGGGATACCTCAGGGATTTGTACTTGGACCCATTCTCTTTAATATTTTTATTAGTGATATTGCAGAAGGTCTTGATGGTAAGGTATGTCTTTTTGCTGATGATACTAACATATGTAACAGGGTTGATGTTCCAGGAGGGATAAGCCAAATGGCAAATGATTTAGGTAAACTAGAAAAATGGTCAAAGTTATGGCTACTGACATTTAATGTGGATAAGTGCAAGATAATGCATCTTGGACATAAAAACCCAAGGGCAGAGTACAGAATATTTGATAGAGTCTTAACCTCAACATCCGAGGAAAGGGATTTAGGGGTGATTATTTCTGATGACTTAAAAGTAGGCAGACAATGCAATAGAGCAGCGGGAAATGCTAGCAGAATGCTTGGTTGTATAGGGAGAGGTATTAGCAGTAGAAAGAGGGAAGTGCTCATGCCATTGTACAGAACACTGGTGAGACCTCACTTGGAGTATTGTACGCAGTACTGGAGACCGTATCTTCAGAAGGATATTGATACCTTAGAGAGAGTTCAGAGAAGGGCTACTAAACTGGCTCATGGATTGCGGGATAAAACTTACCAGGAAAGGTTAAAGGATCTTAACATGTATAGCTTGGAGGAAAGACGAGACAGGGGGAATATGATAGAAACATTTAAATACATAAAGGGAATCAACACAGTAAAGGAGGAGACTATATTTAAAATAAGAAAAACTACAACAACAAGAGGACATAGTCTTAAATTAGAGGGACAAAGGTTAAAAAATAATATCAGGAAGTATTACTTTATTGAGAGGGTAGTGGATGCATGGAATAGCCTTTCAGCTGAAGTGGTGGAGGTTAACACAGTAAAGGAGTTTAAGCTTGCGTGGGATAGGCATAAGGCTATCCTAACTATAAGATAAGGCCAGGGACTAATGAAAGTATTTAGAAAATTGGGCAGACTATATGGGCCGAATGGTTCTTATCTGCTGTCACATTCTATGTTTCTATGTAACACAGAGGACTGATAGGTAACATATTCAGTCCCTTTAAGACTATGGCCCCTGAAAGATAATGCCTGTTAAAGACTATTTTAGCAGATTGGATTTTAAAAGACTTGCTGCCCCTTTAAATTGTTTTGGAGCAGTTCTGCAGCTTTAAATTGGCACTTCGGATGCAGCCGAAGTGCCGAAGTAGTCGAATTGGCCGCCATTCGACAAATGAACACGTGGCGGCGGCCATCTTTGTTAATTCGAACAAGGTCAGCGGTATGTGTAGCCAAATCCATGGAACTTAAATCGGCTACACATTTCAACGAACACCGCTGAGCCTTACCTTCTCCTACACTCAGTTTTCAGCTGCAGAGACCCGTTCGGCAGTTTGAACTCACTGCTATACTAAGCTAAATGCACAAACGGCCCCGTTCGTGCATGTAACGGCACCCTCAGCATCAAATAGACAAAACCACCGTATCGCAAGCTTCATTCGTATCAACTGCAATCATACAAATTGCAAGCAGGGGAATGCTCCAATCTCCCAAACGGGACCCGTACTGGTACTTCCCTTCCCGATCAGCAAATTCACGAATCGCTGCTAATAGCCGAACTCATATCTCCCAAGCGGCTAATACTTCCATCCGGCAGTCGCCATTCGTGTAGTAAATTCCCCTCCAATAACGAGACCAAGCTCCGCATTGAGGGTAAAACATGAACTGGGTTTACTCTGGGCTACCCGCCCGTATTTATGCAGGTCTCCCACTTGGTGGACACTCCCCTAGGGGAGACTGTAATGGCAGATGGACATACAGTATTTCAGGACACACAGGCACATAATATTCCCAGCATGCATCATGGTTTCCTCCCCTCTGCCCTGTAGATAATTGAGAAGTAATTCAATTATCTCCCAGGACAGAGGCAAATCGCCATTTTAGATACAACCCAAAAAACACATAAAAATATATAACTTTACAATTGCCGAACATTTCTCATTCGTGTAACATATCCCCAGATAGCCTGGATCTGAGTGCATATTATTGGCAAATAACGCTCAGATCCCATACGCACAGTTCAATCGCCATGGAGTCAAAGTCTATTACAGTCTTTCGGTATGCGATTGACTCCATGGGAAGGCTATCTGGGTTAAGTCCATTCGTGCGGTTCAAACTCCCAAACGGCCGGTGTTCGTATGCTTTGGTCGATCGAGAAGGGAGGTCGGTGGCTTTAGCGGTGTTCGGCGGAAAATGTCCGTTTTCAGTTCCATAGAATCTGTGCCAAACACTGCTGGTCTTTCGCCTGTTTTAAAATGGCTGCCGCCTCGTGGTCGACATACGAACGACGACCACCCAGTATTCGGTTTTAATTGAAAGGTGTCTGCGGTTAACCATAACATTCTAATTGGGATCAAGAGGTTAACCAGCAGCACACTTCTCTTCTGGGTGGCCGTCCGTTCGGTAGTTTTGTTCGGTAGAAAAGTCAAATAAACAAACGGGCATATGGACAGGTAATTCCACGAAAAGAGGCAAAACAGACGAACCAGCAATCCCAGTCTATACAGATGGATCTGTCACAGTGCATTCGAATGGGACTTAGTCATTTTTCTGTGTAAAATAGACCGACTGCACAGCCCAAATCTATGGAACTGTTTTGGGCAGGAAAATGTTTTGCTGCGCATGCACATTCGGAGCTGAGAGGCGGATTGGGGCACAGGGATCCCCAGTGTCAAGGGAGTCCGGCGCTGGAGAAAGGTAATTGGTGAAGACACACACACTCTCACGAACAGAAGCATACACACTAGCTAACAGACACACACACTCTCACGAACAGACGCATACACACTAGCTAACAGACACACACACTCTCACGAACAGACGCATACACACTAGCTAACAGACACACATATTTATTGACAGACACACACACTCACTGACAGACATACACACTCACTAACAGATACCAAACAGACTCACTAACAGACGCACACACTCAGTAACACACACACAGTAACACACACTAACACACACACAAAAACTAACACTAACAGACACACACACTCTAACACTAACACACACACTAACGAACACACACGCACTAACACTAACACACACTTTTTTTTGTTTGTTTTTTTTAAATCATCCCCCAGCCTCCCTACCTTGCTGAGGGGTTTCCTGGGGTCCAGTGGTGTTGCTGGGCAGGCTGTCTGGCTGGCGGGTGCACGCCGCGTACTGATGCCGGAGCCGGAAGATGACGTCATGTGGTACCAGGGCTAGCCACAGTGGGTACATACCAGGTCACAGGGCGGCCAGGCCCACTGCTGGGTCAGGCCCGGTCGCAGTCACAACCCCGGTATGTATGCCACTGGTTGCAAAGCCAGGGGAGTATATCTTGCACAGTTATTGTAGAAGAGGGGGAAAATGGGATATGGACAGCCCAGAGCTGGTATAAAATATGATAGCAGGGTCCAGTATGCTTTAATGGTTCCATTAAGTCTGGCTGAAAGAAGGAATTAGTGGAGGTAACCAGTTGGGTTTCTCGCGGTCCTCTACAGTACCCCCTCCTGCTTACCTACTGGGCAGGAAAGGGGGCAATCATCCCTTATCATGTAGTTCTGGTGCAGGTCTGTGGTGGGGCACTGATAAACATAGTTGCCAACATTTGAAAAAAAAAAATCCAGAGACACTTTGCAGCACAGCTATCAATTATGTAGTTGAAAATTTACCACACCCACTGCCTCAAAGCTCTGCCCACTATCTCCATCCCACATATTTAATCTCTGCCTACTTATCATTAGAATTACAGGGAATTGAGATGAGAATTAGCATTTTGTGTATCTGTGTGTAAGAGATGCATTGTGTGTTTCTGTGTATAAATGCAAAGGATGCATTGTGTTTGTCTGTGTAAGGCATCCATTGGGTGTGTGAAATGGATGTGTTGTGTGTGTGGGGGGGATACATTGTGTGTTTCTGTGTGTTTGTGACTGTGTAGGGATGGATTGGGTATTACTTTGTGACTGTGTAGGGATGCATTGGGTGTTTCTGTGTGTCTGTGTGTGAGTAGGGATGCATTGTTTTTTCATGTGCATGTGTGTGTCTTTGTGTGTAGGGATGCATTGTCTGTGTGAAGGACCCTCCGTCAATCGATGCTACTAGTGCTTATCAAGTACCTACAGCTCAATGTCTGGGAGTGCAAGGGAGACCAGAAGGAACAGATGACCCCTTGATCGCTGGGGACATACAGAACAGAGGTGGGCTACAGGCAATAAACAGGTCCAGTACTTGCTTGTTGTGGGTGGGTTGCTCGACTAACTCGGGCACCGACCGACAGAAGGTCAGGAACCTGGTTAGTCTCCTCCTGAAAGGAAAGGTGTGTGACAAAATCCACTTCGCCACTGGATTTTGGAGATGTAACGGACCGTTTTGCACATAAGAGGTTAAAAACCGTTTAGGCGATATTCCCCTTTCAGATGCACAGACAGCTACTGCAATCACCAATCTCCCGAACTGCAAACTACACGAATTCTCCAACTCCCGAACAGGAAACTCATGAATACTGGAAACAGCAAGACCCCAACCAAGCTGCGGCGGTTTGTGGGGTCTGCAGTGCTTATGTTGTCTGGTGTGGTGCTGATGGTCCTTGGTAAGCACTAGGAGCATTGATTGACTGAGGGTCCATCGCATTTAGTGGCAACAGTGGGATGGCTTCCTAGTGAGAGGAACAGCATCCTGGAGAGACCGGAATCGTAGCAGCATCCTTATCTACAGCGATATGGAGTCAGCTAATCCCTGGACAGCGCTCGAATTGGAGGAGGAGTTTTACTGGAGGGTGCAGAACCTCTTGGACAGACAAGATGGGCCGGAATCAGAGGCGGCCATGGTTAACTACAGAGAGGAAAGGAGCTTTGGAATGAAGCCTTAGAGAGTGAACAGCGTTGGCGAGATGAACATCTTCCCAGCAGTAGGCAGCGAGTACAGGCCCATATGGCAATGAGGATGCCTCTTCTTAGTAAGCAACCCCGGGGGGAGTGGGTGAAGACACTAGTGTGTACGGAACTGTACCTCGACGACACATACCAGGCACTACGGTGGTACGCGCTCCAGTGTGTTCCCGAGATGGCCAATTACGAAGTCCCTGAAGGCAAGGATTATGATGGCCCCTATTTGCCGACCCAGACTTCGGTAGTTCTACAGAGTCCCACTTTTGGGACATCCATGACTATCGTGAAGCCATGCTGGATCTCCCTAAAGCGACCGACCTTGAACCAGACCTGATCCATCTGGTCACCCGGGAATGGGATTTGGAGCAAGATTACGAGTATCTGCTCAGTCAGTCCCAACATACCCTAGAGGTACCGCAGGAGAGCAAGGTGGCAGATGCAGGCCTAGAGCCCTTCAGCTTGGAGGACTGATGTCTGGAAAGTCCCCCAGATGGTAGGTGGAGATGGGACTGTGGTCTCTCCACAGACCCTACAAGGATACTGGGCAGCTGGCCCAGACCCCCAACCAAAGCCAGAGTTACTGGGAGCAGGGACAGTTGCTCCTACTCCCCAGAGGCGGTCTATCTTTCCGGGAGAGGAGACAATCGGTCTCCTTCCCCAGCGGCCGAATATGTTATTGGGAGAAGAGACAACTGGGAGGACGTAGGAGGACCCACAAATGGCAGGTGGAGATGCGACCCAGGTCTCTCTACAGTGATGCTGGGCAGCTGGCCCAGATCCCCAGCTGCAGCTGGAGTTACAGGGAGAGGAGACAACCGGTCTCTCTCCCAGCGGCAGTGCATCCTACAGGGAGAGGAGACAACTGGTCTCTCTCCCCAGCGGCAGGGCATCTTACAGGGAGTGGAGACAACCGGCCCTGAGAGAGGCACCTGTATTAGCTGCACCAGGCCACACTAAAAGATTTCTCGTTCATACAGATGCCTTAATGTTTGTACTGGGAGCCGTGTTAAGCCAGGTGGGTGAACACCCAGTGTAAATCTCAGCAGAAAGTTGTTACCCTGGGAAGTCCGTAATGCCACTGTGGAGAAGGAGTGCCTAGCCCTTGCGTGGACACTAAAGAAACTGCAGCCATACTTGTATGGGCTTAACAGGGTGTGAAGAAAATAACATGCCATTCTGAACTTTTTTATATTTTATTGGTTTGGTAGCTGTAACTACCGAACACTGACAACCCCCCTGGCTCATTATCTACAAAGGAGATTAAGCGCTCTCTCCTTGTTTGCATAAAAGGAGGCAGTGGGGCTTGGTCATCGAGTGTCTGGAACTAAAATCGGACACTCGACTTCTCGAACACTGGTCAAACTATATGAACGCCTGTTTTCTTTTACCGAACAGCTAGGAGAGCACTGTTTGGTAGTTTGGTTCCCACGAACAAGGGGAACAATCGCTACTATGAGCCAGGTGGATCCGTTTGTGCATTATTGCGTTTTTGTGACTTTTCAAAATAGACGGACCGCACAGCCCAAATTCATGGAATTGTTTCTGGGCAGGAGCCTTGTGTGCGGTTGGTACAAATGGGAGTTCCATAAAATTTTAAAACCCCTGAACTGATCTGGGTGATTTTAAGATATGTTGGCCACCCATCAGGGCTATCAGGGATTATGACATTTATGGGGATGTCACGTGTTTTTGGGTACTTTCCAAGTTTGGGGGAAAATATATTTTTACTGCCTGGAGATAATGAAGTTATTAATATAGCTGACTCAATTATCTCACAGGCAGAGGGGAGGAAATTATCTGTTTGTATTGGGAGTGTCACACTTTGTCACTGTATTGCCATTGGCTGTAAACCTTGTGTCCCTGTTCTCCCTAAGGTCCATGTGGGAGTGCCCCTTGCATGGGGACTTGCATAAAAGCCAGTGTGGCACCATTAAAATTCCATTCCTGTTGTACCCTTCATGAAGTCTAGGCTTATGTTTGGGTAACTGTCTACTTGCTGGGGAGAAACTACTTGGATGCTGCATTCATCTGGAACTATTAGTATCCACACCCGAAGTGCAGCTTTAATTACTCAGGTTCGGGAGGAATAGGCGAACAGGGTATGTAATATATCAGCGTTCGTAACACAGGGTAGCTGGCGATAGAGCTTGGCAATGCAGCCTTATAATTTCACAATACAGTATTGTGGTGAAACCAACCTCGCCACTGGGCACGAGAGAAGCCTGGTTGCTCGCCTGCTGCCGCTGGACTATGGACCCATGTTAAAAGCTTTTATTTTCCCCGGAAGAAAGGCTTGTTCATGCCTTTCTGCCTGGGCGTTCGGTAGATTGAATCTACCAAACCAACACACGAATGACCGGACCACCTTGGTGAGGAGTGTTCCCATAGTTTACCTCCCAGAAGCTGCAGTTAACCGCAGCTTAATTGCTGAATGCTGGGTGGCCGAACACATGGCAGCGGCCATCTTAAACTCCCGAACGGCCAGCGATGTTGAGCTCCAAAACTGTGGAACTCAAAACGGACAGTTAAACTCATGAACACCGCTGAGCCGCCGACCTCCCTTCTCCTGCCTTCAGTCATTTATCCGAACGCCGGTCCATTCGGTACTTTCTCCATGTGAACAGTGTTACCCCAGATAGCTATGCCATTGAGCCTATTCGTACAACAAAAGACTGTGAAAGACTTTGGCTCCATGTCAATTGATTATGAGATTATGAGCGCCATTTGGTAATAATGTGCGCTCAGATCTAAGCTATCTGGGGATATGTTGAACATGCCTATTTCATTTAGTAGTTTTCACATGATATATTTTTATGTGTTTTTATTACCATGTGTGTAATGGAGTTTTGCCTCTGTCATTGGAGATAATTTGATTACTTCCCAATTATCTCCAAGATAGAGAGGAGGGATTTTAATGTACTATGGCAGTGTTTTCACTATGTATGTCTGTGATTGGTCACTGTGCAATTTGTGTCCCAGTCTTCCACCAGGTCCCATAGGGACCTGGTGGAAGACCTGCATAAATAACGGACAGGTAGCCCCATTAAACCAGACCACTGCTTGACCCTCAACACGGAGCCTCGTCTCATCCTTGGGGGGATTTATTGTATGCTGTTTCCAGTTCAGCTGCTAGGAGTGTAAACCTATTCGTATGGTTTTTCCTATTCGGCTGTTTGAAGCATTCGTATGGATCCAGTTTGGCTGTTTGGACAATTCGTACGTTTTCCTGTTCGGGAGATTAGTGTCTTCAGTAGCTGCCTGTGTATCTGGAAGGGAATATCTACTAGACGGGTTTTAACCGCTTTTATGCCTGGGGGTGCCGTTACAAGTATCGATCAGGGAAGCAGAATGCCAACACAGCTGTAAAAGCATCACCAGGCTGTTATTTATCACTGAGACTGGGACCCCACCGCCACACTATCTAGCTCCTCGTGTGTTTTATTTAAGTTATAACATTTATCCTGAAGAAAATCTTGTCATAAAAATATTTCAAACCACAAATCTGAATTTAAAGCCATCTGCTTCAATATATATATATATATATATATATATATATATATATATGTTTTCTCACCCATCCTGGGTGGTATATTATTCTACCAGCTTATTCCTTATTGTGCAGTATCTTAGCTGTTCCTAAAACTGCACTTTTTTAGAGAGCGATCTCAAATGTCCCAGCTGGAATCTGTTGAAGCCTCTCCCCCAACTTGGGGGTCACTGCCCCGAGTGCCCCGACCACAACTGTAACAACTGGAATTAAACGGACTACAGAAAATATCAACCATATGCCACAAGGAGGAAGAAAATATATAGATATTTTTTTCTATAGAATCAGTTTTTCATTTTGCTGTGAAATATATTTTAAAAGTAAGATATTTTTAAAAACATCCAGTGGCTCCGAGAATTGAGCAGTGAGACTGCAGGGACATGATCTACACACCAAAACTTTAAGATAAAGTTGTTTTGGTGACTACAGTGTATCTTTAATTAGAATATATCTGTATAGCTTATTCCCTTTTTATGGGATTGTCCACATATTTGGAGGCAGTAGAGCCATAAAGACATATTCCTATGCATGATTAACAATATTTAGGGTCACATTAAAATATATGCGTCAAGTCTGGTGCCCAATCAACTTGAAATGTCACCACTGGATATTTGTGAAATGTTCTTTCTATGTTTTCAGGGCTGACTAGACTGACCTCAATCTCTGTATTAACTCCATCTAGACTGACCTCATTCTATGTATTAACTCCTTCTAGACTGACGTCATTCTCTCTGTAATAACTCCTTCCAGACTGACCTCATTCTCTGTATTAAATCCTTCTACACTGACCTCATTCTCTCTGTATTAACTCGTTCTAGACTGACCTTATTCTCTCTGTATTAACTCCTTCTAGACTGACCTCATTCTCTGTATTAACTCCTTCTAGACTGACCTCAATCTCTGTATTAACTCCTTCTAGACTGACCTCATTCTATGTATTAACTCCTTCTAGACTGACCTCATTCTTTCTGTATTAACTCCTTGTAGACCTACCTCATTCTCTGTATTAACTCCTTTGTGGACTGATCCCTGAGTCTTAAATCTATTTTACCTTTCTAATGGATTGTATTTGTTCTTAATATTCAATTCTTTCTAGCGTGACAAAGTCTCATACTGTACCTTAACAGAGGAAGCAGCCAGTCCGGGAGTCCTGAATAGATAGAGTAACGGTGCAATCCTGGCTGTATTTAAAGTAAAGAAAGAATAATGTAAACTAGCAATGAGGAAAAGCTTGAGGGCTAATTAAACATGCCACCTCAAAAACAGAGGAAGGATATAAGAGCAATATTAACCCCGTGTGCCCAGAGCTGGTAGAATAAATATCACAGCTCAATAAACCAAGAAATAAAGCAAGATTAACCCCGTGTGCCCAGAGCTGGTAGAATAAATATCACGGCTCAATAAACCAAGAAATAAAGCAATATTAACCCCGTGTGCCCAGAGCTGGTAGAATAAATATCACAGCTCAATAAACCAAGAAATAAAGCAATATTAACCCTGTGTGCCCAGAGCTGGTAGAATAAATATCACAGCTCAATAAACCAAGAAATAAAGCAATATTAACCCCGTGTGCCCAGAGCAGGTAGCATAAATATCACAGCTCAATAAACCAAGAAATAAAGCAATATTAACCCCGTGTGCCCAGAGCTGGTAGAATAAATATCACAGCTCAATAAACCAAGAAATAAAGCAATATTAACCCCGTGTGCCTAGAGCAGGTAACATAAATATCACAGCTCAATAAACCAAGAAATAAAGCAATATTAACCCCGTGTGCCTAGAGCAGGTAACATAAATATCACAGCTCAATAAACCAAGAAATAAAGCAATATTAACCCCGTGTGCCCAGAGCTGGTATAATAAATATCACAGATCAATAAACCAAGAAATAAAGCAATATTAACCCCGTGTGCCCAGAGCTGGTAGAATAAATATCACAGCTCAATCAACCAAGAAATAAAGCAATATTAACCCCGTGTGCCCAGAGCTGGTAGAATAAATATCACAGCTCAATAAACCAAGAAATATAGCAATATTAAACCCGTGTGCCTAGAGCTGGTAGAATAAATATCACAGCTCAATAAACCAAGAAATAAAGCAATATTAACCCCGTGTGCCCAGAGCTGGTAGAATAAATATCACAGCTCAATCAACCAAGAAATACAGCAAGATTAACCCCGTGTGCACAGAGCTGGTAGAATAAATATCACAGCTCAATAAACCAAGAAATAAAGCAATATTAACCCTGTGTGCACAGAACTGGTAAAATAAATATCACAGCTCAATAAACCAAGAAATAAAGCAATATTAACCCCGTGTGCCCAGAGCTAGAAGAATAAATATCACAGCTCAATAAACCAAGAAATAAAGCAATATTAAACCCGTGTGCCCAGAGCTGGTAGAATAAATATCACAGCTCAATAAACCAAGAAATATAGCAATATTAAACCCGTGTGCCTAGAGCTGGTAGAATAAATATCACAGCTCAATCAACCAAGAAATAAAGCAAGATTAACCCCGTGTGCCCAGAGCTGGTAGAATAAATATCACGGCTCAATCAACCAAGAAATAAAGCAAGATTAACCCCCTGTGCCCAGAGCTGGTAGAATAAATATCACGGCTCAATAAACCAAGAAATAAAGCAAGATTAACCCTGTGTGCCCAGAGCTGGTAGAATAAATATCACGGCTCAATAAACCAAGAAATAAAGCAATATTAACCCCGTGTGCCCAGAGCTGGTAGAATAAATATCACAGCTCAATAAACCAAGAAATAAAGCAAGATTAACCCCGTGTGCCCAGAGCTGGTAGAATAAATATCACGGCTCAATAAACCAAGAAATAAAGCAATATTAACCCTGTGTGCCCAGAGCTGGTAGAATAAATATCACAGATCAATAAACCAAGAAATAAAGCAATATTAACCCTGTGTGCCCAGAGCTGGTAGAATAAATATCACAGCTCAATAAACCAAGAAATAAAGCATTATTAACCCCGTGTGCCCAGAGCTGGTAGCATAAATATCACGGCTCAATAAACCAAGAAATAAAGCAATATTAACCCCGTGTGCCCAGAGCTGGTAGAATAAATATCACAGATCAATAAACCAAGAAATAAAGCAATATTAACCCTGTGTGCCCAGAGCTGGTAGAATAAATATCACAGCTCAATAAACCAAGAAATAAAGCAAGATTAACCCCGTGTGCCCAGAGCTGGTAGAATAAATATCACAGATCAATAAACCAAGAAATAAAGCAATATTAACCCCGTGTGCCCAGAGCTGGTGAAATAAATATCACAGCTCAATCAACTAAGAAATAAAGCAATATTAACCCTGTGTGCCCAGAGCTGGTAGAATAAATATCACAGCTCAATAAACCAAGAAATAAAGCAAGATTAACGCCACATGCCCAGAGCTGGTAGAATAAATATCACAGCTCAATAAACCAAGAAATAAAGCAATATTAACGCCACATGCCCAGAGCTGGTAGAATAAATATCACAGCTCAATAAACCAAGAAATAAAGCAAGATTAACGCCACATGCCCAGAGCTGGTAGAATAAATATCACAGCTCAATAAACCAAGAAATATAGCAATATTAAACCCGTGTGCCTAGAGCTGGTAGAATAAATATCACAGCTCAATAAACCAAGAAATAAAGCAATATTAACCCCGTGTGCCCAGAGCTGGTAGAATAAATATCACAGCTCAATCAACCAAGAAATACAGCAAGATTAACCCCGTGTGCACAGAGCTGGTAGAATAAATATCACAGCTCACTAAACCAAGAAATAAAGCAATATTAACCCTATGTGCACAGAACTGGTAAAATAAATATCACAGCTCAATAAACCAAGAAATAAAGCAAGATTAACCCCGTGTGCCCAGAGCTAGAAGAATAAATATCACAGCTCAATAAACCAAGAAATAAAGCAATATTAACCCCGTGTGCCCAGAGCTGGTAGAATAAATATCACAGCTCAATCAACCAAGAAATATAGCAATATTAAACCCGTGTGCCTAGAGCTGGTAGAATAAATATCACAGCTCAATCAACCAAGAAATAAAGCAAGATTAACCCCGTGTGCCCAGAGCTGGTAGAATAAATATCACAGCTCAATAAACCAAGAAATAAAGCAATATTAACCCCGTGTGCCCAGAGCTTGTAGAATAAATATCACAGCTCAATAAACCAAGAAATAAAGCAAGATTAACCCCGTGTGCCCAGAGCTGGTAGAATAAATATCACAGCTCAATAAACCAAGAAATAAAGCAATATTAACCCCGTGTGCCCAGAGCTTGTAGAATAAATATCACAGCTCAATAAACCAAGAAATAAAGCAAGATTAACCCCGTGTGCCCAGAGCTGGTAGAATAAATATCACGGCTCAATAAACCAAGAAATAAAGCAATATTAACCCTGTGTGCCCAGAGCTGGTAGAATAAATATCACGGCTCAATTAACCAAGAAATAAAGCAATGTTAACCCCGTGTGCCCAGAGCTGGTAGAATAAATATCACAGATCAATAAACCAAGAAATAAAGCAATATTAACCCTGTGTGCCCAGAGCTGGTAGAATAAATATCACAGCTCAATAAACCAAGAAATAAAGCAAGATTAACCCCGTGTGCCCAGAGCTGGTAGAATAAATATCACAGATCAATAAACCAAGAAATAAAGCAATATTAACCCCGTGTGCCCAGAGCTGGTGAAATAAATATCACAGCTCAATCAACTAAGAAATAAAGCAATATTAACCCTGTGTGCCCAGAGCTGGTAGAATAAATATCACAGCTCAATAAACCAAGAAATAAAGCAATATTAACGCCACATGCCCAGAACTGGTAGAATAAATATCACAGCTCAATAAACCAAGAAATAAAGCAATATTAACCCCGTGTGCCCAGAGCTGGTAGAATAAATATCACAGCTCAATCAACCAAGAAATAAAGCAATATTAACCCTGTGTGCCCAGAGCTGGTAGAATAAATATCACAGCTCAATAAACCAAGAAATAAAGCAAGATTAACCCCGTGTGTCCAGAGCTGGTAGAATAAATATCACAGCTCAATAAACCAAGAAATAAAGCAATATTAACCCCGTGTGCCCAGAGCTGGTAGCATAAATATCACAGCTCAATAAACCAAGAAATAAAGCAATATTAACCCCGTGTGCCCAGAGCTGGTAGAATAAATATCACAGATCAATAAACCAAGAAATAAAGCAATATTAACCCCGTGTGCCCAGAGCTGGTAGAATAAATATCACAGATCAATAAAACAAGAAATAAAGCAATATTAAACCCGTGTGGCCAAGTGCACCCACACCCAGTTAGAATAATCGCTGTATGAAAAGGAAGAACTACGGTTTGCCATATATTAAAACTGATAAATTTCTACAGTTTGGCTTTTTTTGCAAATTGTATTGCTGTCTTTGCATCCTTGACTTTCCATACTGTAGTGAATAACACTGTGCGTAATTCAATATTTAACCCCCAGTCCTTCACTCAATCATCCATCATATCGCACATGGAGCAGGTACCGCAGTGTAGTGTGTACGGAGTGTGTGTGGTGTATACACAGTGTGTGTAGTGTATATCGTGTGCGGTCACTGTGTGTGAAGTGTATATAGTGAACAGTCACAGTGTGTGTGGTGTTTATAGTGTGCAATCACAGTGTGTGTAGTGTATATGGTGAGCAGTCACAGTGTGTGTAGTGTATATAGTGTGTGTAGTGTATATAGTGTGCGGTCACAGTGTATGTGGTGTATATAGTGTGCAATCACAGTGTGTGTAGTGTATATGGTGAGCAGTCACAGTGTGTGTAGTGTATATAGTGTGCAATCAGAGTGTGTGTAGTGTATATAGTGAACAGTCACAGTGTATGTGGTGTATATAGTGTGCAATCACAGTGTGTGTAGTGTATATGGTGAGCAGTCACAGTGTGTGTAGTGTATATAGTGTGCAATCACAGTGTGTGTAGTGTATATGGTGAGCAGTCACAGTGTGTGTAGTGTATGTAGTGTGCGGTCAGTGTGTGTAATATAAATAGTGTGCAGTCACAGTGTGTGTAGTGTATATGGCGAGCAGTCACAGTGTGTGTAGTGTATATAGTGTGCGGTCACAGTGTGTGTAGTGTATATGGCGAGCAGTCACAGTGTGTGTAGTGTATAT